AACCGCTCGTCATTAGACTGCGTCAGCAGGGATGGCCACACGGCTTGATTAGACTCATCTTCAGCTTCTGCTGCAACCGCATCGCCAGAGTCCGACTGGAAGAAAGCACGACGGAATACTTTCCTCTGTCATGCGGGCTGCCTCAGGGGTCGCCACTATCTCCCATCGTCTTTCTGCTCTACATCGCGGAGATCCTTGAAGACGACCCGGACGCGCGATTCGGGTACGCGGACGACATCGCCACTCTGGCCATCAGCCCCTCCCTGGAGAGCAACGTCGCAATACTCAACCGAAGCGCAGCCGGCATTCTCAGATGGGGCTCGGAGAACAAGGTCTCCTTCGACCCGAGCAAGTGCGAGGTCATCCACTTTACTAGGAAGCACAGCCAGCCAGCGGAGCTGCCAGAGGTCAGGGCGGGGGATTTGGTGGTCAAGGCCTCGACAAATCCTGTACGCTGGCTGGGTGTCTGGTTCGACAAGAGACTGTCCTTCCGGCACCACGTCGACACAAGAGTAGCTGCGGCAAAGAAGGCAGCTCAACACCTGAGGCAGCTTACAAACACAAAGAGAGGACTGCCAGCGGCCGCCGTGCGAAAAGCCGTCGTCTCCTACGTACTGCCGATCGCGCTCTTCGGCGCCGAAACATGGTACGCAGGTATCACGAAGCCGGCTTCGAGACGCCAAGCGGAGACAGACACGAGTCCGCCTTTCCAAGGAAGACCCGTCAACACAGGCCAGAAGGGGCTCGTGCAGAAGATCGACAGCGTCATTACAGCGGCAGCAAGGATCGTTCTACCTGTCTGGAGGACAACGCCAACCAGTAGCCTCCTCCGAGACGCCGGCTTACCGTCAGCCAAAGTCGCCTTAGAAGGCGTCCGTTTACGGGCCGCAGTCCGACTACAGAGGATTGATCGCCGACACCCGCTAGTCGCGCGGCTCTCCCAGCAGGGACAGCAACAGACGAGACTACAACGGACGGCTGAACTTCTGCCAAGATGCGGAAGACCAACGTTCCTCCAATCACAGTACCTGCCAAGCTCACAGGATCAGATAGTAGTTCAATGCAAAGAAGAGGCTGCGAAAGCTTTCGAGCGCTGGCTAAAGACAGTACCGGAAAGCCATATGATCGTCTTCTCGGACGGCTCCAGGGCGACGAACGGAGCCGTGGGGTACGGCTTCGTCATCTACCGAGACTCCAAACGCATAGCGCAAGGGTGCGGCCGACTCGGACTAGCAGAAGTGTTCGACGCCGAGGTCGAAGGGGCGCGAACCGGCCTCAGAAGGGCTCTGCTCACCAATCGCGGTCATCCAATCCACATATGTATCGACAACACCAGCGTTATACAAGGCATCCGCGGCAAGGCGCCGGACTCGTCACAAGACGCGTTCCTCGAAATCCAAGAAGCGGCCAGGATATTTGATATACGGACGCACTGGTCCCCGGGACACCAGGGCATCGAAGGAAACGAGGCCGCGGACCGGCTGGCCAAAGAAGGAACGACACTGCCGGCGCGGATGGGTCAAATGGCAACACTAGCGGGCATCAAGCGGCTTGCAAGGGAAAAATTACAAAGCCAGCACAGGAGATGGTGGTATAAAGAGCGAAGGCCGCGGTACGCGGACTTGGGGCTTGAGGCAGCTCTGTCCAGCCCTCCTGAACTGGCCTTGCCGCGGGCTACGTTACATCACCTGCTGGCGGCACGATCGGGTCACGGGGACTTCGAGCAATATCACCGACGTTTCAACCACGACGACGCTCTAATGATGTGCTCTTGTGGAGAGGCGAAAGACGTGGACCACCTGGTCTACTGTCGACTAACGCTGGCGAGGAGGCAACGGTGGCCGACCCTCCACTCTCGCAGTATGCCCGAGCCCATAGGTCCTATGGGATCTCTCGAGGCCTACTTCAAGAGATTAATCACCGACCCACGAGGCTTCGAGGCCTTTCTCCGCGTGACGGACTTCTTCCAGAAGATCTGTCTGCGGTAGCAGCATCCACACCTAGGTAGATGTGAGTGCGGACTACAAAGAACCTCCCGATTCCAAGGGACGATTTGGGAAAGAATGAAACTGGGGCACCAGCGGGAACCGGGGACAGACAGAACGCGTAGTGGCCACAAGGCATGATTTGGAGGACGATGTAAAGAGACGACGTACTGTAGAGTAGGTAGCCTTGGCTCACGGCCCTCCACGCCATATACCCTTCGGGAGGTCTGCGGTAAGGGCTCTAGCCCGGCCGCCACGGCGTTAAATACAACAACAACAACAACAACAACATTCCCGCGACCTTATATGGAGGACCATTATTAGAAGACATCGAAACTGGCGAACACGTTTATCCTCCGGAGTTGAAAGATTTCGGCGACTTAAAGGACAAGTCTAGATGGCTTACAAAAGCCCGTTTGCTTTGTGACCCTGACGACGAGTTTGGGAAACTTCTTCCAAACTACGCAAAAAAGCTTCCACACCAGTTGCCAGGATATGACGATCTCCCAAACACACGTGATATTCGGCCGAGATCCCAAGATTCAGATATCGAGATTCATGTTGCTGAAGCAAATGAAGGGCTCAAGTTCCTCGGAGTTGACCCCGACGGTAGCCGACAGCCTTTCAGTTTCCATCTTAGCGAGGGGTACACTTTTGATGATCGGATCTACGCTGCTGTCCACACCCAATGTTTGGAAATCGCTGAACGAGTATTCGCATCCTCGACACTGGCACATGTGCGAGATTTACGTGGTTTGTGGACAGCTCTTAGATGGAGACAGAGCATCACTTTCAAATGCACAGGCTCGTCGGGTTATTTTCCTCAAGCAAACTACACTCTCAGCCGTAACGAATATTATGTGCCTCAATCTACCGTGGCTGGTGAGCCAACCTGGGAGGAAGAAGATTTCTCTGGGCTGAATTGGCCGGGTCCTTATTCTTCTACTCTATCAAAACCATACTATGTAAGTGCAGATTATGCTGTTTACATCATTGCTGGCCATTGATATGTACATAGACTCTCACTAGTAGCCCCTTGGAAGTCGAGGAACTGACGAGCTGCCTGCTCCAAAATCTACGCGCCTACCGATCCAAAGTCACTCGAACCAAAAAGGGTACCATGCTTGCCGACAGCCTTTCCAAGCTGCCGACAGAGATCCTCGATAATATCCTCGCGGCCATGGGACGCAACATTCCTCCTGAGTCTTCCCATCTGTTACCCCAGAGATTATGGAGGGATCAACTTAAGGCAGGGTCCCGCGGGCTTCTCCCCTGGCTGTGGGACATTGATCCAGCTTGCATCGACGCAAAAGACTCTGAGCCCTGACCTGGTGGTGAGTCCTTCGAATGGGACTGGGAGCTGTTGGTTCGGCAGCTCAGTCGGGGTGTTGACTACGGGGTTCTCCTAGATGTACCTGACACTATCAGAGCCACACCCGGTGTCACTGGTCCTCAAGGCAAACCAACTATGGGAGGAACTGGCTATCATACTGATTTAGCCCATGTACCCGCTGGTCTACACAACCGACGTCGCATATGGCAGCTGCTCGAAGAAATGATCGTCGGCGATACATTGCCATGGCCAGCTAGGCAACGGTGCCGCTATGCCTGCTGGTCACGCATGGACACGCAACAACAGGGCGTCCCCTTATGCTGGAAAAAGGCGGGAAATATTTTAGCCCGTCCGATCTAGCTTCCCTCCATCAACTTTGGATACTCGGAGAATCCAACAAGTGAGAGCCATCCCATGTTTTTGAAGAGGCTTGGGAGTGGGGTATATAGGAGACGCGGCAAGGCGAGACCTCAGTACTAGCAGCGACGTGAGGTAGAGGAGAGACAGGCGAGCGAACCTGGTGAACCTGAACAGCAAGGCGACGCTGAGACTCCGGCAGCGACTGTTGAAGAAATTTGTGCCGTCCTTCGAAAGCTTTTGTATCCGGTCTGAGATTCTGGGCTAGCACGGGTAAACTTTTGACAGTAGACAATTTTGTATTAGAAGCAGGGGGTTTCGTGATAAATCAGGCTTTCACATCACTGGTTCGTGTTGAACGACCAATGAAATATCCCTCATGTGATTCAAAAGTGCAGGCTGCCTTTCGCGAACCACCAGGGATCTTTCAGCTCCTTTCCCCCAAATGCTTCTCAGCCCATTCCAAAATCCTTTCAACTTACAAGAATCACCAAGTCTTGGCTCGGAAATCAAACAACTTTTTATTCAACCCGTTTCTCACATCGTTAATATCGCGACATCTGCATATCGCGCAGAACATGTTCACCCATGCTCCTCTAAACAAAGATCGGCGAGAAATCAGGCTCGTCCGAATCCGCCCCTTGCTCGACGGACAGGTCAGCATCAAGACCACGATTGTGCTCGACATCAAACATGCCTCGCTAGATGAGCCCGGACTGTCATACGCGGCACTTTCGTACGTTTGGGGGAGCACCGCCAGCACCATGGCCATCGAAATCGAGGGCGCCTCCTTCAACGTCACGATGAACCTCCACGCTGCGCTCAAGCAACTACGAATGAACGCAGTAGACTCCTGGCTCTGGATCGATTCCATCTGTATAAAACAGATTGACTTGAAGGAGAAGAGCTGGCAGATCAACGCTATGCGGGACATCTATAGCGGCGCCGACATGGTCTACATGTGGCTGGGCCCCGGAACCCAAAGTAGTGACGCGGCCATGGATTTCTTATCCCGAACTGGAAAAAGACTTCTAAAGTACCTCCCCGAAGATCTACGGTCGGACCACGAAATTGACAAAATTCTCTACCGGTACGTCGCAATTTATCTCGGTCAGTTAACCGGAACAAACGCTTTCATCCGCGAGCCGGGAGATCCTGCGAATTTGGCAGACAGAATCCCAGTTGGCTCCGGGCTGGACACGACTCCATACGAGGGCGGGGTGGGAACCTTGCCATTCTTCCCAGTGGCCGCGTACGAGACCTTGTGTGACTTTTTGGCTCCCAAGTCACCATCCATCAGCACAGGCATTCGCGACCTCCTGGCTAGAGACTACTGGCAGCGCATCTGGATCGTACAAGAAGTCTGCCTGGCCCGGAAGACCTCTGTAATTTCTGGCAGCAAGAGTGTTTCTCTTGACGCACTGGACGCTACCGTTGATTTACTCTGGAGGATACGCAATATGATTCCTTATAACAGTCCGTTATTTTCTACGATCGACAAGAATGTTCCGCTAAGTGTCAATCATTTAACGCCTCTGAGAGTTCGGCGTCATCACCAAAAGGGGTTGATTGTGAATTTGGTAGATATACTGTGGACCGCGGAGAAACCGCCAAAGCGGCCTCATTACTCTGCCACGGACCCGAGAGATATTGCTTTCGGGCTGCTTGGTGTGCTTGCAGACCACGAAAGAAATGTGCTCCGGGCGGACTACTCTCTCACGCGGAAAGAGGTGTTTGTGGAAATCACAGCGACTATGCTGAGTAACCCGGTCGAGAGCGAGACGTCACCCAGCTTTGACCTCGACTGCATCCCTCCGGGAAGCCCCAACGGTAGGCTTCCTACGTGGGTACCGGACTGGCAAGAAATCGGTCGACACGGCCTAGTGACATGGCCAATCAGCTACGGTACAGGGTTCAAAGCAACTGCATCGAGACGGCAATCCCGAAGGGCGTTGTACTCTGTAGTGAGGGGTGTAAAACCAAGCATCATACAGCGAGGCTGTTATGTCGATAGAATCACCAAGGTGATGAAACCCCACGAGTGGATTCGGTCCGATGACTACTCGTGGCCCCGATTGAACAACCCCGACGACTGGTTCCTTTCAATTGTGGAATTCGTCGGACTCGGACCGGAGGTTGGCCCTAAGGAAGACTACGTTTGGCGGATGATCGCGCCTGCCAATAATTGGAGCTCCCGCACGACCATGGAGGGCTTCGATGCAGTAGGCAGAGTCCCGGGGCTTCTTCGCAAGGTCATGCGAGTTCAGGACGTGAAGATTACCGACTTGACTGGCGCAGAGATCAGGTTCGTCTTCGACAACAGCAAAGACGGAAAGATGGATGACGAGGCTCTAGAGCTGTTTGGGCAAAGATGGAGGTATCACCTGACTCACCAAAACACAAATCGAACACTTTTCAAGACAGCAAATGGGATGCTTGGTCTTGGGCATGCCGGGGTAGAGGTCGACGATGTTGTGACGTTGATCTGGAAAGTACCTTCGCCAATCATCCTAAAGCGGCGGGTTGAAGGGGGCTTTTACTTCAAAGGAGGTGCAAATGTAGACGGCATCATGCATGGAGAGTTCCTCGATACTAAGCCGAGTGAAGTGGAGTTTAGAATATTCTAAGGTCTTCGTGTTAGAATCGGACCATGTGCTTTTGGGGATCATAGGTCTGCGTCTGACTTCTACTCAGTGGTCTACTGATCGTTTCGCCCACAATTATTACCAGTACCCCAACGCTAACGTTCTCTCTGTTACGAGATTGTTTCTGGGGTAAAGTAGAATTATACCCCTACAGCCGCGGACTTCATGTTCACAAGTTCAATCAAGTTGCAAGGTCGCATTTCGAACTTGGGTGTTCGACGGGCTATCCAAGTGCTACAATTTCATGTCCATGCATGCCATCTTAGCTTATAACTATAATGCGAGACGCCTTTGGATTTGTTTAAACCTAGATCGCACTATCAACCTCATCTATGACGATCGATCCCGAAGAAGAAAGGCGTGGCTTAAGCTCCGGTATTCACAACGGCCTCCTCAACGGCCTCCTATGCTAGAGCGGCCAACCCATTACGGTCGCAAAGAATTCACTAAGGCCAACCGCCAGCATCTTCGTGAAAGATCAAGCTGTTGAAGTGGCGTCATCTCGAGCAAGCTCCCGGCTGGCATGACATGATCGGGCTCAGTTGCCAGCACCAAAAAGGGGTGGATGATGAACTACCCTTATAGGATAAGTTGAGAAGAACGTCCCAGTATGGGCTAAACATCGGCTTACGTCCTCTCAATGAGGACAGGTAAAGGCAACGGGTGGCGTGTGATGGCCCCCCCGGAACCTTGTAGGTCTTCAGGGGTTAATTCCCATATGAAGTTCGTGACGCCGAAGGAGAAGCATCACCTTATCACCCGCAACAAGGGCCGTCCAGGCTTCCTCGGTTTGTTGGAAAGAGGCCGTTGCGTGACAAGAAGAACGAGCAAGAGCGGCATGCCTGGCACGACGAAGAAGAGAGAAGGTAATTCGTTAGGAAATTCAATCTGTGAGCACAGAGTTCGGCCAGGGGCAGTATCACACTTCGGACCGGGGATCACGACTCTCATTTGAGGAAACGAGTAAACGAGATGGAAGACATCACAATAACGGCACACACCGAACTTAGAAAGCGAAGCAACTCGAAGCAGGATCAACTTGTAACTTTTGTCTCATTAACATCAACAACATGTCGACATTCGTGAACATCTTTCCTCCCTATATCTAAGGAACCCAGTAACGAAACCGGGACTCTAGCACTGGAGCACGGAGCGGGGTTTGGATCCCCCACCACGCCTCTCTCTCTCTCTATCTAGCCTGTGTATGGGATCAAAAACTTTTATAATAAAGCCCCGACCTCCAAGATATGACAACGTAAAAGCCCGTTCTCCTCCACCCCGTCCCTCTTCTCGTTTTGCCATCCCTCGGCCCCAGGAGCCAGATGAGAGAAAAGATAGAAAAACTTTGGTCGGGTCGCCGCGGGAGGACAAAAGGGGAGGGGGAGGAAAATCATTCATTTCCATTCATGGACACATACAGCCATTTTCTTCACACTCTCACACACTAACAGTGGAGGGCGTGTCGCGTGATTTCTGCAATTACGTCGACCGGGGGAAGACAGCCTTGCCAGCAGCCTTGGCGGCGGCGAGGGCGCCAGACAGGCCAAACTGGGAAGAGAAGCCGTCGATGCGGTGGGTGGCGTTGAGGTTCTTGACGACGACCATCTGGAAGCAGGTGGCGCTGCCCTGACGGGAGGCGATGACGGACCAGGCGAGGAAGAGCTCCCAGATGCGGTACCACTTCTGGCCGTACTTTGCGTGGACGGTCTCGGAGTTGCCGAGCCAGTTGCGGTACCAGCGCCAGAGGGTGCCAGAGTAGTGAACGCCGACGGTGTCGATGCTCTTGATCTCCCAGCCGGCGCTCTCGAGGCAGCCGACGTAGTTGGCGAGCGGGGTAGAGGCGTCGGCGCCGGGGAAGATGTGCTTGTTGAGGTAGAGACCCCAGATGAAGTCCTCGTATTGCCAGGCCTTGCGGAGACCGGAGAGCTGGACGTACATGGCGCCGTCATCCTCGAGCATGTCGTAGCACTGGCGGAAGAAGGTGGTGAGTCTGCGGATACCGACGTGCTCGCCCATCTCGAGCTGGGAGATCTTGTTGAACTTCTTGGTGGGGATGTCGCGGTAGTCCATGCAGAGGATCTGGCTCTGGCTCTCGGGGATGCCGGCGCGGCGGAGGCCGTCGTTACCCCAGGCGGCCTGGTTGCTGGCAATGGTGGCACCGGTGACCTTGGCTCCGTAGTTGACACTGGCGAACTTGGCGAGGGTGCCCCATCCGCAGCCGATATCGAGCATAGTCTCGCCCTCCTTCAGGCCGAGCTTCTCGCAAACGACGGCCATCTTGTTGTCCTGCATCTCCTCGAGGGTCTCCTCGCGGCTGAGGTCGGAGAAGAGACCACTGGTGTAGACCATGCGGGGACCGAGGAAGTAGGAGTAGTGGTCGTTACCCTTGTCGTAGGTGGGCTTGATCTGGTCCTCATCCTGCTGGCGGGAGTGGAAGATGACATCGGGGGCGAACTCGAGGAAGATGAAGCGGAACAGGGAGTAGGTGAAGGCAAAGTTGGACCAGTCGTGGCGGTACTCGAGGGCGTCAAGGAGGTCGCCGTTGATGTCGACGAGGCCCTCGGTGTAGAGCTCAGCGAAAGTCTGGATGGGGATTTTGTTGCGTCCGCTGTACTGCTTGCGGTCCTCCTCGTTCTTGAAGGTGAGGTAGTGCTCGACGGGGCGGCCGGGGAGCTTGGCCTTGTCGTTGATGCGGGGAGAGAACCTTGAGGAGACGGTCCAGAAGGCGATCAGGAGGGGGACAACGAAGAGGATGAAGAAGAAGATGAAGGTCTTGAGACCGCCGCCGAAGATGCGGGTGACCCAGAGAGGGACACCGGCGAGGACAGCTCCGAGGATCCAGTTGGAGAAGGATTCATTGCCAGGGCCCTCGGCAGGAAGAGTAGGGTTGTTGATGGTGGGGTACTGGACAGGAGAAGGTCAGCTCTGGGTCAGGGACGCAGGGAGACAAGACAATTGAGCTTGTCTGTGATTGTTCGCAGTCGATTGAGGCAATCTGCGGGATAGGGGTTTTGCTAGAAAGTCCTTACGTTGGTGGTCTTGACACCGCAGTCCTCGCCAGTGCTGAACGTGGAGGGCTTCGCGGCAGGGGTCGCGATGAAGGTGATGTCACCCTCAAGCTGCGCGCCGTCCTTGCGCTTTTCGTCAGCCATGATGGACGATGTAAGCTGATGGTGCTTATGTTAGAAAGGAAAGCTCCGCGGTTTCGATCTTTGTCGCGCGCAGCTTCGTTTTCTAACCGCGTATCGGGATACAAAGGAGGAAAGGTGGTTGGAGATGTAGTTGGAGACACCGCCTGTGGAAAAGGTGTGGACAGATTTAAAGCTGGAGCTGTTTCCGACGCGGGTCGCGACCACCAACAGAATTTGGGTGGGGCCCTTGGCCCTTTTCGGGGGGGGCTACGGGGGCCTACGGGGTGCGGTAACGGGGTGGTTTACTTGGCTTCTAGCAGCGTTTCTGTCTTGGCCTAACCGCATTGTGTGTTTCTCGGACGCCGCTGGGTCCGCTTTTGTGGGCAATTTTATGCAGGGGCGCTGATAAAAGAGGGCAACGTCGCACACAACTGGTTGAAGCGACCCTGGCAATCCCAAGGACCCCTGCGGGCAATGCACCGCCAAGTCAGTTGAGGCCACGAAGTCACCAAATGTCAGGAAAGAATTCACGAAAAAAGTCTTCACCGCCCGGAGGCCGGAGGGGTAGGGGTGGCTTTTCTGGTCTTTCTAGACCGTCCAATCCTCCAAGGTCTCGACATTCCCCAGATCTTGGTTGAGACTTGATACCTTTGCCAGTGAGCCAGCCACACACACAGCGTTGCACAGAACGGTACATAGACCGTAGAGAACCTAACCATCCAATTTCACCCTTCCGGGTTGTGGGTTTAGATAGCCCGGGCCTTCAACAGGACCTATCCATGTTGAGTCTTGAAATGATGATGGCCACGTTGAGCCAATCAGACAATGTCAATTTACGAAACCAGCCAGGCCAAAATGAGCGGTGATGGGATTCAATCATAAGGTAGCGAAATGACGCTTCATTGTTGGTTGTTGTGCTGTTCAAATATGCATTTTACTTTTCGCATGATAGTAAATGCTGAATCCGATTTCGGCCGAGGAATGGCACGAGCTCAGGGTCCAAGGAACCTTATCTCAAGGTGTCTTATCAATAACCCAGATTGCTCCGGATCCGATCCGGGGTCTATCCGGGTTCCCGGGCCCCGGGACGGCGTTAGTGGGTACATCTAACGGCATTGTGGAACCCGCCGTTGCCGACCCAAGTCGCATACTAGCAACGACAAGTCCGGCCCGGTTCCGAGCCATCGTTACACTGCAGACGGTGCTGGGACTTTGGTTGGAAGGATCCAACGCCTTGCATCGCTGAAAAGGTAAATGCTACTCAAGCCAATCAGATATGCAGCCTTTTGAGTGGGTCGTCCGTCATCAACAGGGCGTACGGAGTACTTTAACAGATCCAAAGTCCCGTAGTCCCTGATTCATACATCTTCAAGACGTCCTCAAAGTGTTCTATAAAGTACTTGCGTAGATACATCATTTACAGCCAGGTTCAGTTTTACGTTTCCAGCTCGGTCTACAGTACCCATACTGCCTTAGTTCCAGCATTTCTGATTGCTCAAATCCCAAATCTCCACCACCACACACCAACATGTCCCTCTCAATCCACGAAGTAGCAGCCAGCGCAGTCCAAGCCAGGTCCCGCATCGCCTCCCACATCTACACAACCCCCCTCCTCCCAGCCCGCACAACAGGCCGCGACACCAACGCCAAAGTCCTCTTCAAAGCAGAAAACTTTCAACTCACAGGCTCCTTCAAACTCCGCGGCGCAACCTCCAAAATCTCCGCATCCCAAGCAACCGGCTCCCAAAACGATGCAAAGCTCATCACAGCATCCTCGGGAAACCACGGCATCGGCGCCGCCCACGCAGCCCACGCCCTAAACCGGTCCCTCACCGTCGTCCTCCCAGAGACAGTCTTCCCCGCCAAACTCGCCAAAATCAATGCCCTCGGCGCCACCGTAATCCTCCACGGCGCAGAAACAGGTCTCGCGGAACAACACGCCCAACACCTCGCCGCTTCGGAGGGATACACCTACATCTCACCCTACAACGACCCCCTTGTCGTCGCAGGGCAAGGCACAATCGCCCTCGAGATCCTAGAACAGTGCGCCGCCCAAGGGATCCCCCGCCTCGATAACATCTTCATCGCGATGGGCGGTGGGGGACTCATCAGCGGCATCGGGTCCGTTCTCAAGGCGTTTGCTCCACACGTGAAAATCTACGGCGTCGCGGCGACGAATTCGCAGGCTCTTGCGGAGTCTATCCGTGCTGGGAAGGTTGTGGAGACGGAGCATTTGCCTACGCTTGCCGAGGCGGTGGCGGGCGGGATGGACGAGGACTCGATTACGCTTCCGCTTGCGAGTGAGGTGGTGGATCGGGTTATTGGATGTAGCGAGGGAGAGATTGCGGATGCGATGAAAAAGATTGCGGTGGAGGAGAATATGATTGTCGAGGGGGCTGCTGCGTTGGCGCTTGCGGGGTTTGAGAAGGTCAAGGGGGAGGTTGAGGGCCAGACGAGTGTTGTTTTGCTTTGTGGGGGAAATGTTGATCAGGGGGTTGTTAAGAAGATTATCTATGGCTTGGAATAGTTATAACGGGTTGTGCGTGGACTTTTTGAAGACTCTGTTTCTGTATAGATATCGGACTGCTTAATAGGCAGGGTAATGGTTGCTCAAGTCGACAGCCGTAGACGAGATAGATTTAAGCTTGGAACATGCTAGACTTTCAATAAAGAAACATGGTATGCTGGGTACGAATTATTTACGTATTAGGAGCATTGCAACTCCGAGTCTACCAGGGCCAATATTGAATCCCTCCTTGATGATGCCAAGATATATCCAAAACTCCGAGACATTAGAGCCTGACCAAACCAACCCACCCAAACCTCCTAACCTCATCCCATCTTACATCCACATCAAATTCCGGCTCTGCCTCCGGTTCTGCTGCCATAACGGCCTCTCCTCAGACCCATCAGCCCGGTGCCCAGCATTCGTCGCCCCAGCGCCAGCGCCGTAGGGGCTCCCGTCCGTACCCGAACTAGTCGCTCTGTGTCCCCCTTCACCCCCACGCACAACAGCGTCATTATACCCCCGAGAAAACTCCTCCATCTCGCCCTGGTGCGTGAGCGGGGTATCGTCACCCGTTGACCGGGACGCGCCGGACGCAGAGGCGCCGCTGGCGGGGTTGTATCCTCCGTGAGGTGCGGACGACGGCGGACTGTTGGCGGATCGGCCTCCGCTGATGGAGGTGGTGTTGCCGTGGGCGCCGGGCATCATGGACGGGTGGCCGTAGCCTGCCTGGTCGAACATCATCTCGCCGCCGGGCACGGGTGCGAAGTCCTTTTGGTTCGTTTGTGGGCTGCGGGGAAGTTAGTTTGATTGGTTTAATTGTGGGATGATCATGGATGGGTTTTGGACTTACACATAAGTGGGACCTTTGCCAGCGCCAGGACCGAGACGCTTGTTGCCACGCTTGCGCTTGCGCATCCAAAGTGCCACTGAGACGAGGGCCACGAACACAGCGCAGCCGCCGATGACACCGCCGATGATGCCCCCGTTGCGTCTGAGTCCTGCTGCGGCAGCCTCGGCGTTCACTGGAGGAGCGCTGCTGGTAGCCGCCGGCGCAGACGAGGTTGACGATGCTGATGACGTTGTGGAGGTCCTTGAAGATGAGCTGGTCGTAGAACTTGTGGATGAGCTCGAAGAGCTTGAAGTCGTAGAAGAACTGCTCGACGAGCTTGAGCTGCTGGAGGATGAGCTACTCGATGAAGCGGTCTCCTGTCTCGTGACGAGGCCTGAGATGTGCGTAATGGCCACTGTAGTGCTGAGTCCTGATGCGGTGGCAGCGACAGTCGTACCCTGGCTTGTCGTGCCGCATCCATACTGGTAAGCACCTCCATCGAAACTGTTGCGGTAGCAGACATTGGAGCCCTGGCAAGTGAAGATGTACGGATCCGAAGCTGTTTGAGTGGGGCTGTTCTCGTCGACACAGCTCGTATACACGCCCGTCGTACAGGCGGCGCCGTTCGGGCAGCAGCCAATGGCCGAAACGGAAGCGTCCATGGCGCAGTGGGAACCAGCAGAGCATGTCGCCGGCAGATTTGGGTCACCACCGAGGTAACCACAAACTGTGTTGGTGCTGTCATCCTGTCTCCTCATAATACCCAGCCATGGCGCCGGTGTTGCCAGCGGCCAGCTACGGACGTCCAGTGTGCGGTAGGCGATGTGAACTTGAGCATGCTCTGTTTGGCGGGGGAGAGCGCCGGCTTCGGTCAGGGCGAAGATGTTCGAGAGGAGCAGTATCGCGGCGGTAGGCGGTAGCCGCGCGAAGCAGTCGTTCAACAACATCTTGTTGTACGTAAGTCTGCGAGGGGACCTTTTTCTCCTAGCTCGGCCCTTCCTGGGACTTTTATTCCTTTTCCCCGTTCCAAAAGTGACCTCCGCTGAAGACTAGGATGAGTTGTGACGAGAGCTGTTGCTCAATGGTATCCATATAATTAATAACAGAGCAAAGAAACCAAAGAGACTAGAAGAAGGAGACGTGAAATCTAGAGTGACGAGTAAAAGGGACCAGGATAGGCAAAAAAGGAAAAGAATGAGAAAGAAGAAACCAATGCTGACGAGGGATTGGGCGACGGAGTGTAATTTAGATCGGAACAGGGACCTCTGGAGGGTGGAGGGGGGGTGTTGATCCTCCGGGCCCCCGGGGGGCGACGCCAACGAGGCTGACGCTGATTGGGGAGCCGTGTTTCAAGGATCCTCCGATCGTGAGCATACCAAGATTCGACTCTCACTCGAGAGAGGAAGGGAAGGGGGAGAGGGGCTGCCGCCCCTCCAGGACCCCAAATGCAACAAAAAAGCATGCCTTACCGTCGTACCACAACCCGCAGATTCGCACCGCTCGGGGCGTTACCGGGGGTCTGAAGATCTCTTGGGATCATTCATACATTGGGGCCTTTGGAGGGACGTTTCTGCTGTGTACCGTGGCGATGAGAGACAAGCGCCCGCCCGGGACCAGTCCGTGCGGATCTGAGAACCGCGCAGGCAGCAGAAGGGCGAAGGAGGCTCGGTGCCGGTGAGAGTGCGAGGTGAAGCTAGTGAGTTGGAGCTACGGGTGCTACGTAAGAAGAGAAGGATTGGCAGACGGAAACTAAGAAGTAGGGAAGCCAGGAACAGGCGGAAAGCTTGGATAACTCTTTTTTCGCTCGCAATTTGCTTCTACCCACCTACCGGCCGAGCGAGTCGCTCACACTTTTCGACTGGCCTGACCTGAGCTGGTCTGAGTATGATCCTGATTGCTCGATGGGGAACAATAAGACACGACGGGAAGCCCGGTTGTGGTTCGTGATAGAGTGATCGTCCTGTCGGGCTCGCTCGCCGCTTGCTGTGTTTGGTTGCAGACTTCTGCGCATGGCTCCCGTGGCCTCTGCAGGAGGTGATACAGATCATACAGACACAAGACAGAGGCTGGCCCCCATGATGCCAAAGCTGCTGTTTCTCCTCTGTGGGAACTCTGAAGTTGTACCTTGGCCCGCCCCTCTCCCTCTCTCTTGTTACCATGATCCGGAACGATCTTGGGGGCAGCCGTTGGTATTCTTTCCATGGCCCTTTGTGCTCTCGAGGGCCGCCCAACTTGTCAAACCTGCATGTTGGTTCGCCCGTTCGAGTCCAAATGGACAGGGATGAGAGAAGAATGGTGGAAGAAGTCATCCGATGGGGGATATTGAAGGAGTTGGGGACCCAACGGGGGAAATGGAGTTGGATCGTTGGAAGGAAGTGGGTTTGGGCCAGAGAGCAGGGGCAGTCGAGGCGCGTTCGTCCTCGCTTGTTTGCGCTGCCTCCACCAAGCCAGATCCTCCTGATATTGCATCGAGTATTTGTACCGTGCTGTCACCTGATCATTGCAGCAAGAACACAGTGTCACAGTGCCCGATGATCGCAGGCTGGCGGCAGTCATGGTGCTTTTTTTAACACGCGCTAATTCCCGCGCCGGGTGGATCCCCGTGGCGATGCTGTCGAATCGTCGAATCAGGTAAGGTACCTTCTCGCCTTACCTAATCAGGGTCTCACGGGGTACGTACATACGCCACGACATGAGCGGAACATCAACTTCTGAATCTTGAACTTTTGAACTTGCAACATCATCATCCAAACCCGATGTGCGATGAACTTATCACAAGAGATTCCTCGCTCAATACTCACAGAATAGATGTGCCGACATGCTGCACAAGCAGTCCATTCCATTCATGCATGCATCTCAGAAGCAACGCTGTGTTGTTTCATGACGACATTCCCAAGAGTCCGATTGGTGTCAAAGTAAATTAGATACCTAAGACAGGTAAGAAGAGTGTCCTCGGACACATCAAAGGTCCATCTAAACTGCCAAAACGCCCGAGCTATTCCACGCTACACTGATTCTACACATGATGCCACAATCCAGGACACGGTAAGTAGGTACCTTGGCTCGGAACAGTGGCAGTCTCGTTTCCCTCTAGACATGATGGCTTCCCCTACCGCCAGTCCTGTCATCGCTGTCATATTCGTCCGCCGCCAACGGCCTCTCTTCCATGGCAACATAGTTACCCTCATCACTATCCACCTCCAAGCCCGTCGCCTTATCCTTCTTGTTCTGCTCCCTCGCCACCTTCTTGGCCAGCTTGGACTCTCTCTTGGCAGCCTTCCTCTCAAGCTTCACCTGCTTCTTCTCCTTCCTCGACAGCCGAGGAAACTCGCTGTTCTCGCCCCTGAGCACAATACCCGGATGCACAGCGTTGAGCAACATGAGCGCGAGCACCATCGGCAGTGCGTCGAGCCCGAACGCGTAGTTCTCGTTTGTCAGAATCGGGTTGTCCATGTTCGCCCCCGGTCCGAACTCGACCAACCGAAAGATGATCCGGATCTCCGCGAAGGAAAAGTGTCAGCTCGGTCCGTTCATCCCGTCTTCTCGTCAAACATGTTCTGTCATGCAGGGGTAGGTGGGTAGATAAGGAGATGCAGGTTGCAAGAAAGACTAAGAAAAGAAACAACTCACAATGATGAGAACCAGCACCACAAACATCACCAACACAATGGCCCCGATCCGTTTCAAATCGAGGTCGAATCTCTGTGCCCGCCTCATCTTGGCGTAAAAGCGACCCATGAGCCCGCAAAAGACGACAATAAAAGCGAGCTGCAAGCCGCACCCAATCATGTACACCTGCTTGCCGGTCCGCAGGATGGGGTCGTCCGATGCGGTCTCCGTGTTGGACATCATCGCGCCGCCCGCCCCTTGCACCAGGAAGCAGACGACGTCCATGGTGACGAAGATCTTGGTGAGGGCCGTCGCTTTGACGCGGAAAACGCGCTGGTCGGGCAGGACGAGGTACACGAGTCTGGCGGAGAGCATGTAGGCGAATGCATTGATCCCTGGACGACGTCAGCTTTCGACCTTGGACTTTGGCTATTCGTCACGCAGATGTATACCGAGCCATGTAGGAAAACTTACAAAGTGGAGCGAGTAGGAACAAGAGCTGACCGCCAATCTGGTAACCAATCTGCTGTTGATCCCTGGCGCCGAGGGACCGGAGAATGAAAGCTATAAGTTCCCACGAGGCGCCGACGCAAAGAACCCAGCAGAATCTCTGTCTCGGTGTTAGTTTTGAAGCCATTGGGACTGGAGGACAAGTAGCATTGCGTACCTTTCTGTAAAGAATGGCTTGGGCAATGTGTGCGATAAACGACAGGCCAAAGAGAACGGCAAACGCGACATTGCCTCCAAAACTAGGATCAAAGGCATAGTACGAATTGCAGGCGTCGATCGGGACGTGTCCGTACTTGCCCGGGACTGCCGTTGTGCATGATGGCAACGAGTCGGACGAAGACACGCTCGCAGGAGACGCACTGGTAGGTGTTGGGGTAGCCATTGTTTGTCTGAAATGAGTCGCGTGTTTTGAAGCTTGTCTACTTAATCCGTCCGAACTCACGTCCGAAGTCGTGGATATTATATCCAACTCGCCCTACAGAGCGTTCGCTCTCCGACATGGCAGACGCTCATCACGAAATGCAGAATGAGGCTCAGCTCTGGGACTTTGGTATTGGCTTGCTTCGGTACTACAGCGCCGTGCCGCGTGACTGGATGAAAAGCCCCTCGAATCCTTCGAGAAGCTAGGCAGCCACCTATTGGACCCGGTAGAGCACCAAAGTCCCGGTTGAATGGGGCGCAAATGCCAAAGTTCTTAAGCTCAGCCAGCCTTATGGTTGATAACGTTCCGCAAGTTGGCGGCTGGCTCATCCTCCACCGTGACGCGGCTCGGTTCAAGACGCTGCATCTCTAGGATCAGGCACATGGCGAAGCTCAACACGTGCACATGGCGTCCAAGAACAAACGATGTGTAGATCGATAGCAAAGACAAGCCTCTTTGGTGGGTACGGTCAAAAGCTTACTTGCCTATTTTGAATCTTCTCTGGCTTGCGAGTGGACGATGGGGGGCCAGGTGTGGCCTGATGAGAAGAGGCTCCATCGCGAATGCCACGAAAACGTAACGTAAATTCGAGGAATTGATGTCGTAAAGAGCTTGGCACCAACTGCCGTTTTCGAATGAGACATTCACTTGGCACTGTGGACTGCAAGATCTTGGGTCATGTCTCATTAGGTGTGTCTCGCATGAAGAATAGTCTCACTATGTGACTGAGGAGAGATGAAGCCAATAATAAGCTCAAGTAGCTTTCGTCACAAACTGTGTGATGTCCCTGGCGATGTGCAGATGGCGAAACTTTTTCATTTTCAGCAAGAAAGGAAGCCGCTGACCTAAGGTGAGGTACTATGTACCAACGCTAGACTCAAACAGACGGAAACAGCTGCACGGGCCAATGGCAGTCAGTTGATCCGACCCCGCGAAGGTCTCCACTAAAACTGGCGGTTTCCAGTAAAAACAGGGTCCACTTTACCCCTGTTCTGCGCCGCAAAGACCTCCCCGTCGCACTCCACTTTGGCACTGGTTGGAGACGGGAAGCTCAGCTATCTTCGTCCTCGGCCGACCGCTTCTCAGCATCCTGTTTTTTTCTCTCTCTGTTGACCGCCTCCGTCTCGCGCCTTGCACCGTGGCTGAGTTGAGAACTTCTACTGCTTGCTGCATGCCGTTGCCGTTGCTCGTTTGCTTCCGCAGCTGCAAGTGAGAAATTACGCGGCTATCTTCCCGAGTACCTGACAACCAGATCAATCTGGGCGTGCTGAGCGCTTGGCGACCCTGAATTGCTGACCACCGCAAAAAAGGAGGCACCTTTTCTCACGGCTACATCCATTGGCCAATCCGAGTTGCATCTCTGCTGCAGGATCGCATTGCACACACACACGAGAGAGAGGCACCGAGTAAGCACCAGCCAAGATGCCTATTCGCGTCAAGTCCAAGAAATTGCCAAAGTCCCGGGACATGAGCCCCGTGTCCATGCACTTTGACACGTTTGAGCTGCCCGACATTGACACGGACGATACCTTCCGCGAGGTCGTCAAGAAGCTCTCCGTGTAAGTTTTGCGCCATACAGCGGTGCTCTTCCGCTGCCCGCCGCCCCTGGACGGAAAACGGGTGACCGAGTTTTTGCTGACTCGACGGGTCCGGTCTAGATACTTCACCGATGTCATTGTGCTGCCGAGCACCTTTGAGCAGCTGCGCACCACCCAGGCCGGTGAGCCGTTGCGAGTCCTGGTCGATCACTTGAATGCAACGTGCACCAACCGGGCCATCGTCAATGCCCTCCTGTAAGTCGATTCCCCATGCCTCACATCTACTATACTCTCCTGAGTAATTCAAGTAGTAAAACGATCGCACATCAGCTCAGTTTCTAACACATTACAGCGCACTGAAATGGCATTATGCCGTCGACGAGGCCGAGTCCAACAAAGGTCTCTGCGAAGCTCGCGCCAACGCCTGTGAGATTGTCGCCTGGCGCTTCCTCACCCGCCTCTCGGAGCGCGAGGCTGTCGATTTCTGCCTCTATGAGATCCCCGACCCCAAGGAGCCGGCCACCCCGCCGCCCAACGCGGATCTCGAGAGCAATGAAAACTCTCCTCTGCTCTCCGGCGGCAGCTGGTCCAACCGCAGCGGCAGCCGTCGCGCCTCCGTCCGCCCGGGAAGCAGCGCCAAGCGCTACCAGCTCTTGTCCTCCCTCTCCAGGCTCACCATGAGCATGCACGCCGACCAGGACGAGGAAGAGGAGGACGACCCGACCTCGCCCTTCACCAACCTCAACGCCCTTGAGATCGCCGCCGTCGCTGACGCCAAGCGCTTCCTCAGCCAGCACGTCGTGCAGAAGATTGTCACGGGCATTTGGAACGGCGACATCATCTTCTGGGACAGCCTCTCGGTCCACGCCGAGAAGAAGCCCCGCTTCTACAACGCCCACACGACCGACATCTTTTCCCGCCTGCGCGTGCCCAAGTACCTCAAGTTCTGGGAGGCCTTCTTCTTCTTCATCTTCCTGTGCCTGTACTACTCCGTCCTCGTCACCCAGAACACCGAACGCATCACCCACAACGAAATCGTCCTGTACATCTGGCTCGCTGCTTTCCTCTACGATGAGCTCAGCGAGTGGGCCGATGCCGGAACCATCTTTTATGCCACGGATATTTGGAACCTGTTTGACATGATCATGATAGGCATCGGTATCACCTTTGCCGTTCTGCGTAAGCAAGCCCCTTCTCCCGTTATCTCCTCCCTACAACGAGCTCACACTTTATCACAGGCGTTATCGGTATTGCCAACCACGACATGAAGATGACCGACACCGCCTTCAACGTCTTCGCTCTGGAGGCTCTGTTCATGGTCCCACGTGTGTTCTCCCTCCTCAGCTTGTCGCCATACTGGGGAACCCTCATCCCCTGCCTGAAAGAAATGAGCAAGGATTTCATCAAGTTCATGGTCCTCGTCGTCATCATCTACCTCGGCTTCCTCACCACCTTCTCCCTCATCGGCCAGGACGCCTACACCTTTTCCCACATGACCATGATCCTCACCAAGATCTTCTTCGGCTCCTCCTACGTCGGCATCGAAATCATGGACGACATCGATAAAGTCTTTGGCCCCCCTCTCATGATCATGTTCATCATCCTCTCCTCCTTCCTCCTCATGGGCTCCCTGACCGGTATGCTCTCCAACTCCTTCTCCCGCGTAATCACCCACGCCCGCGAGGAGTACCTCTACGTCTACAGCGTATACGTCCTCGAGGCCTCGACCAGCAACCGCCTCACCCACTTCTACCCGCCCTTCAACCTCATCGCCCTCGTCATCTTCCGGCCTCTCCGCCTCTTCCTCCCCTCGGACGACAAGTTCCGCCACGGCCGCATCATCCTCCTCAAGGCCACCCACCTCCCCATCGTCGGCATGATCCAGCTCTACGAGAGCATCCGCAGCCGCGTCCACTCGGACGAGTACGCCGGCTTCAAGGGCCCGCGCGGCCTCACCGGCGCCACGAAGCAGCGCTCCCTCGGCGTCTTCCAGGCGAACCGCCCTTCGTCGGGGTACCGTGCGGGAGGAAGGTCCCCGCGCCCCGCGGAGCGCAACAATCACCCTTCCTCGCACCACTCTTCGCGCCCGCAGACCCGCGCTGCGGAAGCCGACGATATGGACGCGCCGTCTGTGGTCGAGGTGCGCATCTCGGAGCTCACTGACAAGATTGATAAGCTCACCGCGCTCGTCGAGGCTCTGCAGTCGCAGACGCAGCCTGGTACTTCCCCCTCCACCTCCTCTTGAAAGCTGGACTACGATAGTCCATCCATCTTGGTCTAGATAGGTAAGGTTCGGCCTTGCCTGAATTGGCTACTTTCCATCTTTGGCTTGATGTCAGGATAGTATGTCTTACGCGCGTATGTACGTGTATGTATGTGTGTGTATGTGTCTCGTCGATCAGTGAGAATCTCGGTTGGATTTATCTGCATTGCCTGGTGCATCTTTGGTGCCTGTCTTTCTGTTTTTGGTTTTGGTTTTGTTTTCAGCTCGATGTGCATATGTGTTTTGCTCTTTTTTGGATGAGATGAAAATATGTGAGACTTGGATGTAGTCATGCTGATGCTAATGTTTTCTCGTGATCATTGGACGTGTTCTGAGTTGGTTGTTACCTGTTGGCCCTGCAGTTATAAGCGAGCAACTTGTTAATTTTGGGAGAATCACGTTTTGAGTAGCGCTGGTGTTGCAGTACGTTAGCGAATCAAATTTGGTCTTGCTATGATTTCATATGAAACCGTGCATCTTCTTCTTAGACGTGACGTGCCAGAATCTAAATGTGGGTGTTCTCAACATCTACGGTATAAGCTTGCTTACAAGTGGAGGCACGAAGTGAACGGTAGACACATCTCCTTGGATTTTGAAGATACAGAATCCTCGAGCACGATGAAGATAAATGATCGCTTACCATGCAGAATCTTCTTCCCAGAGAAAAGCCTCGTTCTCCACCACTTCCTCTGAAACCTCTGATTAGTTCAAATATTCAGAGAGGTTGAGGATTAAGAAGGTATCGCAAAGCCACCCCCACCATCCACAGCCACAACCCAAAATTTACCCCGCCAGCGCCACACAAATCAGCACAGAAAAAGGAAAGAAAAAGAAAAGGTTTTCAAGCCGCGGTGCTCCAACAACAAAAAGGCTAAACTCGGTAAAAATGCAAAAAGGACAGACTTTCACCTGATATAATGACAAGAGTGGGATTCGAACCCACGCCAATTACTTGACTAGCACCTGAAGCTAGCGCCTTAGACCGCTCGGCCATCTTGCCTTGACGAATTGTTGTCAGATTTCCCCTGGGGAAGGCTGAAGTTGCGTGGGTGCATGAGTGGGTGGGCAGGAGGGAGTGGGGTGCGAGTGTCATGCGTGGGCGTTCATCCTAGTTAGGTAGGTGGGTGGCCCTTTGGAAGGTGTTGAAGACGTTGGATTTTCGTGGGCCAAATCACTGAGGGAAAACGGGTTTCGCTAACATGTGGCACGAGCGTTTTTGTTTTTGGGGAAGTGAGTTTTTCAATTGGAATTGGCACCCGGCCGGGTTCAGTGCCGATCTCCGGACCCCGCTTCGCCGTTGGATCGGACCAAACTCCGACGTCCTTGGCACCTAGTTGACAACGTGTGACTACCTGAGAATATTGAAGTTGGTTGCTGAGATTAATCATTTGATAATTAGGCTTCATTGATGTCACGTGGCTACAGTCACATGGCCATTCTTGCACTGGAGAGTTTCAAAAACAGCGCCGGTAGTGGCGGTGGTACCTTGACGGAAGATTTCAACCTCGCAGCCGTGAAGATGAGGTTGGACAGCGACGGAAGCCCACCGGAGGCTAGTTCTCTCCAAATCTGGCTTCATGTTCTTGTTTCATTGTATCCGCGCTGCGCGAGAGCTGGCTGTCAATGTCCACGCAGCTATGCTAAACCTTGGAACACCCTAAAAGACTTTGATCAAACCTCTCAAGTATGTGATGAAGACCGGACCCGCTTCATCGCATGGTTTTAATTCTCAAAGAAAGGGTCATGGAAACAAATATGTTCTATTTGCGTTGCTTTCCAAGGCCTCAGGGTGCGATCACCACACTGAAGCTTCTACCCGCGTTATGTCAAATCGGAAAGCGCGCTTGTTCAACACGTGAAATCAGTCTGGGCCACAGTCTGGGCCAAGTTGAGTCATGAGCATCATGTAGGAAACACATAAGGTGACGGTGGGAGATGATTCTGCACTGTAGCGAACACACGACTCATTATATTTCAGGCTGTTCCAAGCATAGGTTCAGCTCAATCTGTCACCGGTGAAAGCTGTTCTCTCATTCCTTTCAGTGAATCAATGCAATCAAGGGAATGGCCATGGATAATGTGTATATACTCTCCAGAACTTGTCTTATCGCACTTAATCTCCTCACCGTTGATGGCTGCGGAAGTACCGATGCGATCGGTTCTAAAGAATGGATGATTATCCTGCAAGGTTGATCCTGAGACTTCTCACCCATGATACTCCTAAACCTCATAACAGCAAGCCTCGATCTGCCACTCCTACATGTAAGGTACTTCTACGCATATATTGAGTGACGAATAATTGACGAACGGCGGTCAAGCAAACTTGGAGCAAGTGGTCTCTTACTTTTTTTTGTTTTGTTTTGAAACAGTTTTCACCTCAGCCAGCTATCGTATGGACGATACGGCGCAATCCTAGAGCGAGCGGGCTTCAACGTCTTCTCCCTCCAGTATCCACCACGATTGCGGGGCGTTCTGGTGCACTGTTATTCCAGTGATACGAATTCAAGTCCTGATATCCTCGTGTCACACTGCCACATCGATGCGGAAGGTCTAGACTTGTACCACGCCTGCTACAAGGGCATGGAGTGCTTTAAGACAACCTGATCATCTGCCAAGCTAATACAGGCCTGGGCTGCCTCATTCGTCTCACCGTAGATACCGTGAATGAAAGGGCACATCCAGGAGGAGGACTGTCTACAATAGAAGGGGCACTTCTCTACGGCTAGATACCGCCGCAATCTTCTCAGAGGTAGATTATGGTGTGTCGTGAAATAGGAAACTATCGAACAGTCCTATTTCAGACAAACGAAGATTCGGCTTTTACACTGGGGATGGGTGTAGATATGTTCGACATGGTACTATGAACAACAAACTATACAGCCATATTGAAAGCCAAGACTCTCAACTGAAAAACAGTACGCAGGCATACGTATCTTGGGAGTAGAGACGACTCAGGTTACTTATGCCTAAAGAAACTATCCTTCTGGTAGCTAGGACGTAAAATTCTTCACTTGCAAAAGGAACTCGATACACAGCATTGGAGAAACGCTCTTGCGTACCGAGGTATAGAGTTGAATACCGGCATGAACGAAGGAACCCAGGTCTGATATTATTCATCGATGCTGATGCCAGCGTACCAGCCATATGAACGGGTCATCGTCATGTTCTCGATGCCACTGTCAGATTTTAGGTTAGGTAGACCAAGCTGAGTATATGAGCATGTAAGCAAACAATATAATTCAAGTCACCAGCAACCGTTCTATGGGATGTAGACAGCTTCGTCACCAAGGAAGTTTCCAACTTTCACCGATTAGGTACCTCGCGATCTACCCTAAAAGAAGCGCGAATAGTGAGAAAAACATGCCTTGTTCCTGCTATCACGAAAGGAACAGTTTGACACGTAATCACACGTCCGCGGTGATTCAATCCCATCCACAGAAGACACGTCTAGCCTCCAAACCCGTTAGGACGTTCTCAGCGTTTGTGAGAGAATTATCTCTGTTGTCCTTTCCCCTACGTATATATACCCCCCCCCCCAGTGCACCCCAAGCATCGCCCACATAAGATCGAAACCAGCCATTGTTTCGGACTCGGGGCAGAACCCGCCATGGAACGAAAGGAAAGTGGCTCTGGTGCGAAGTCCTATGTTGGCACAAACGCAGCTTTGCTTTGCATATCTATCACTTGAAAGACAAGCCATCAACTCTTATTCAAGCACTTTACCACCCTTCGTCTCCTAGATATACGCACCCAGATACACATGAACCAACAGCCAGAGACCAAAAAGGCCCCGTGGAACCAGCGCTTTTAATGCCACGGCATCAATTCTAAAGTCTGGTCCCAGGCTCAGGCTGGATCCCTGCCTCATCGCCAGCAGCAACGTGCAACAACAAGTACAACAAGCCGCCGGCTATGCGATCTTTGGCTCTTCCTCTTCTTCTTCCTCTCGGGACATCACATTTATATACCTGCCCCACTCGCCTATTAAAGTCTCTGTCTATCAAAATTTTAGCCAATGCCCATACATCTAATTCTGAAGACTAGAACCCAAAAGATGAAGGGCCAAACTACAAACTCAGAGGGGGGAAGAATCGTATCCGAAGCTACCGCAATAGTACGAGGTGGATGAGTAAAGACCTAAACGCATCAACTCACTGGATTACATTCAGATTCTCCGTCGCTGAACTGCTGGGAAGTTTCCCTCTTCGCCATCTATCAAACATCCACAAGCTCACTTTTCCCTCCCATCGACACGTACTCATATTCATCCAATCACAAAAGGCACCAAACGTCGTCGTCTCAATCGCAATCAACACTTTATCTAACATTATATCTACGATAGCGTGCGCCTTCACTGCCATCATCCTAAGTTAACCATGTCGGACTCGCACAGCGCCTCAACCACTGTTTGATAGTGGGCCACTGCCAAACATATCATATCGCTCATCTTTTCTTCTTCGCCTTCCTCATGGGGGCTTGCCATCCATCTTCTAGTGATTGTTGTGGCTTCTATCTACAAAGGGGTGCTTCGTTCCAATTCGTTTGTCCGTTCCAAGGCTTCCGTATTTTACCGTCTTTTTCTTTTTGGTGTAACCTCCCTTCATCGCGCCAAGCCCGGAGGTGCTTTTTCCATCCAACTATATAAAGTCGGTCTGCTATTTATATACCGCCCGTGTTCAAAAGCCGACGACAAGGGGGGTTGGCAACTTTTCGCGCGTCAAAGCATTCGTCGCGCGCATTAAAAGTATAACTGTCTTCGAAAATTCCGCTTCCGAGCGGATCTCGGCGGCAACTGCGGCAGGACCGGTCTCGTTGTCCACCATTCATGATCCTCAGGAGTAGGCGTCGTCTCATCTTCACTGTCCGGCTCGGCCGCAGCGCTTTCCTACTGGGCCGCAGCGCTAGCCAGCTCGTTAAGCTTTCCTCGCTCCTCCTCGGTGAGCATGCCGTACCATTCCTGGAAGTTGGCCACGTTCTCGCGCGCCGCGCGCATAAAGAACTCGGTCAGGTACGCCTGCGTCTCGTCGTCGCGTTGGCGGGCACCCGAGCCTTCGATGAAGGACATCAGATCCGCCTTGGTGCCGCCCAGGCTAAGGTCGAGCGTCTCGGGCTCATCCTCCCATCCATCGTCTTCATTCTCCTCATCGGCGAACTCTGCTGCGGCGGCTACTGCTGCGGCATTTGCGGCGGCGTTGGCTCCAGACGCGGAAAGAAGCTCCTCGATGAGGACCTTGAGAATCTTCAAGGAGGCAGGAATGACGGTGTATTGGTCAGGGTCTGCTTGTGATGTTAGTAATCAGACGGCCATCCTTCACAGCAGTTTACCCACTGGCTTTGGCGCGTGAGCGCGTCATAATTCTGCCATCGTTGTTGCTGTTCACGATGAGGTCGCCTTTGACCATTGTCTGGGCGAGACGGGGATCGTTCAGAGAGTAAAGCTTGGACAAAGCAATAACACTGCAGAAAGTCAGTACTGGTTTACAAGGCTGGGCCTTGGGGTGCTTACTTTTGACGAATCTCATCGTAGCCTGCAAAGCTGACTGAGTTCTCAAGCCACTTGCTCAAAACGACCTGCAAACCGGTGTTTCCATGGATCTGGATCTGACTGAGGAATTCGACTACATCACTAGCGCCGACGAGGGACAGACGAGCAAAGACAAGGATCAGAGACTGGATGAAAGGAGCTGCCTCAGCAGACGCCAATCTGGTAGCAACAGCTTGCAACAGCTGAGGCAGAAAGGGGCCAAGACGCTCCTGTCCGGCCTTCTCGACGAGCTCTGCTGCGAGTCCACCAACCTCGGAAGCAGAGTTGTCCTCGACAGAAGGTCCCAACAAGCGGTCAATGATATGGAGGCAGACTTCCAGACCCGAGCGGTTGTTCTCGTCGTGCCAGCCAAAGACTTGGTGGTGGTCATGCATCAGGAGGTACTTGACGGACTCGGCACCGGGGCGGAGGACCTCGCCCTCGTTTGATTCCATCAACAGACGGTTCAGCTTAGGAAGCGTGGCGGCGACGAAACCAGCAGGCAGGGGCTCGGAGCCGTGCTCGACAAGCGCGGTAAGCAATTCGGTGGCAACGGTGACGAGAGGATCGTCCTGGGTGACGTTGGCGGTGTTGAAGGCCGCAGTAAGCGTGGGCAGAATCTTGGCGCAGAGCGCAGTGTACGAAGCGGTATCGGATAGGGCGCGAACGATCTCCTCAAAGGCCTCGCAAATCAACATGGTAGCCTGGAAGTTGGAGGCGCCAAGTTTGGCAACCATGAAGAGAAGGTCGACAGAAGGAACATCCTGGGAGAGGACAATTCTGGTGTCCATGTTGATGGCAGCACGCAGAGACTCAGCGAGGGTAACGAGGAGCTCGTCGGCATCCTCCATCTCCTCAGGGTCCTTGTTCTGCATGTACTGCGCAATGGCGTTGATGATGGGAACTTGGCGGTCAGCCGCGACCCTGCCGGAGCGGATGAAGCCCTCGACGGCCTTGATGCAGGCGACCTGAACAACTTCGGACTCTTCGGAGGTGATGCATTGGATGATGCGGTCGAAGAGAGCAGGAGGAGTCTGGAAACCACGGGCAAGGGTGCCTCCAACGAGGTAGCCTCGGGCTCTCAGGAGGGGCTGCTCGTTTTGGTTGACAGCGTAATCGACCAGGCCCAGGTAGGCCTCAGACAACGCCTCGGGGATGGGCTTCTCCATATCCTGGAAGTCGCTCAGGAGCATGTTGAAAAGGTAAAGTGACGCCTCCTGGCTTCTCCACGTGGACCCATCGCCGGGGAAAAGAGTCTTGGTGTAGCCAAACAGGCCCTCGACTGCCTTTTCGCTATACCACTCGCCAAGCTTGATGAGCAAGTCGCCGGATGCCGTGCGCGCAGTGTAGTTTGCCGTAACGCTGGTCTCCTCGGCAAGGTACAGAGAGCAGTCAATATCCCATAGCTCCTCCTCCTCGCGGCTGATGCGAGAGTATCCGACAACCATCTTCATGACGTCGACCATCCAGGGGGTCTCCCCTGCCGAAGCGTGGGCAGACAGCTGGGCCTCAAGCTCGGCCTGGACGGGCGGCGCGCGGAAGCACTGGTTGAGGAAGTCGAGCTCCTCGAGAATCAAAAAGTCCAGAGTGTACGGCAGGCTGTCCGAGTCCTCGAGACGGCCCTGGGCCTCGTGTCCTATGTAGAGGTCCTCATGGGGCTTCTGCAAGAGGGAGAGCTCCTCCCAGACGGCAGTAAACAGGCTCGTGCTGTGCGGCAGGAGCAGGTGCGGGAAGACAGACTTGACCTTCAATAGAGTCTTGACCACCTGCAGCTTGAGTGCAATAATGTGGTTCCAGCTCGGGGGCTGGCCGTTGCTGGTGAGCTCGCCAGCGGCTTCGGGGAGGCGGGACTTGAGCACCTGGGCGAAAAAGGGGTACCAGTCCTTGAGCGCCTCCTCGGCAAAGCCCCTGACTTCCTTCATATGGTCCTCCTTGACGATATCCATGAGGTCGAAACACGATCGGAAGACGGAGATGGCGAGGGCGCGCAGGTTGGGTTTCCGGTTCTCGTTGAGGGCGACTTCGGTGACAGCCTTGACAATATCCCGCGCCATGGTGAAGAATTGGTCCTCACTCAAGCTCTCATCAATAATGTCGCCCAGGACTCGCAGGGCGCCGTGAAGTTGAACGTCGGTGCTTGTGGGAATGACGCCCAGGACGGTGGGCAGTAGGCTGGGCCATCGCTCGGGGAAGTCGGCGGACGCAATCTTGCCGATAGCATAGCTAGAGATGGGGGGAAAGGCACAAGTTAGCAAGGCGGTTGTTCTCTATTGGGGGTGTCCTGTAGACGACGATTTGGGACCGAGATGCTTCGGGCGACGTCGAATTGGGAACTCCTAGGCAGAGACGAGCGCACCACCATACCTAGCAGCAACCTTGACAGGCCTCTTGTCCTCATCGCTGAGGGCAATCTCGAGCAGAGTATTCCGCAGCTGCTCGCGTGACGCATCAGAGATGTCGACGGGGGGCTCAGCAAAGTCCCTGTCCTCTGGGTTCCAGTTCTTCTCGATAAAGAGGCGCAGAGTGCTGAGGGCGGCCTGGCGGATTGCCACGTCGATGGAGTTGTGGTTGGCAATGTTGGCCAGCGAGGTAGGGAAGGCCGGGTTCGCGCGAGCGTGCTTGAGCTCGATCTCGGCCTGTTGGCGGGGACCCTGATCGGAGCTCTGGGTGTTGGCCAGCAGCGAAACCAGCTGGTCCTCCATATTGGGCGCGGTTTCGAGGGTTCGTGACTGTATGTGTGTATGTGTTATAACCTGTGGTTCACACGCTCTTGAGTATGATGGTTGCGACGGTTGGGAGCGACGTGGGTGTGTCCGTCGTTGGACTGCGTCGGGGTTCTCGTTGTGGATTGTATGCGCCGGGTCGGTGGTATTTCGTCCCCAGGGTATTCGGAGGCGAGGAAGGAGGCAGGTGAAATGCTTAGCGCGACCCCCACGGGATATTGTCCAGGAAGGAGAGAATGAAGAAAGAGAGGTGCGGTGTAGAGCAGGGGGCCTGTGGCTGACTCAACCTAAGAAAGACGGGTTAGGGAAGGGAAGGCGGTGGGTTCGGGGAAAGAGACTAAAAAGTGGTGGTCGTGAGGAAGAGTGGACTCCGTGGGTTATGTGAGAGTGTGAGGAAGGAGAGGTGTCTTGGGAGTTTGTGTGTGTGTGTGTGTGTGTGCGATGGCGGGCGGTGGTGGCGGTGGTGGTGGTTCTCTGGTGATGTTTCTCACTTTCTTTTTGGCGGGGTGGTTTGGTTTACCGTTTACCTTAGCTAGACGCGCGAGTGGAGTCTTGGGACGTGCCACAGCCCACTTGCACGTTTCTTGGGCATTCTCACAGGCCAGACGTTTCTACAAAGTATCCGTACGTCCAGGGCAGTAGAGGTCCAGGGTGCCTGCCTTTGGAGGGGTTGTTTACAGGTACTTGGCGCAAAGTACCTCCTCACAGGGTCACATAGGCACGAATACCTAGGTAGAAGGAAACAAGTTGCGAGAGCAGGGCAGTCAGCCAGCAGCAGACGGAACAGCCCACCATTGAAACAAAACCCCCCCGACCAGCGCCAGAGCCAACGCCGCACCTCTTGCTCGCTACTACTAGTGCAAACCGGTGCCCGCAACAAGAGGGAGGCACCCGACGGAGAGAGAGAACTTGGAAGGAGGGGTTCGCTCGGCAATTTTCAGCGTGGCAGGCACCACACCACACTACAAGATACCTTCCCATGGAACCATTCTTGCAACTTCCAAGTGCAAAAAAACACAGGTAAACATGACAAGGGAGGTGCACGGGCCGTCTTGCGCCTTTAGCAAACCCTACTTTCCCCAATTCGAGCAGTGCTTAGGTAATTACACAGTAAGGAGGTACTAACATGCCTCGAAATATCCCAATTCTTCACGAGGGATGCCACTACGTACCTAAAATGCACTCTAGGGAAGGTAGCGCGGGGTCGGACCGCAATGTAAAAAGGTGTCTTTAGTCGGAGGTCTGGGCGGTGTACCGCGTGTGGCTTTCTTTGTACCCAAGCATTCGCTACCTACCTAATTACACCGGGCATCTCAGCTTATGGCATTCAGCCAGCCCAATGTCTTGAAAGTGAGGTAGACGGAAATGAAACAAGAAACATTTGTTCACCGTCTTCCGATCCGTACCCTTGGGACAACGGATGGTACGACGGTGGAAGAAAGGGTCCATCCTCTCAGCCCAAAGGACGATTCCACCCTAAGCTTGGGCTTCACGGCATTAGATTTGCCAAGAATCATCATCTCCCCCCTGACTTGCCAAGAGGGCGTCACTTCTCACATTTCCACCCCTCAATCCTCACTCCTCACTCAATGCTCACAACTATTTTTCATCTTGATGCTTTCGATTCAACCCAGTCGATCCGGGATACGCACACGCACACCTCTCTCTCTGTCTCTCTCAGTACCTACAACGTCTAGACCGTCACAGACCTCTATTCCCCTCCACACACCAACCAGAAAAAGAGAACATCCCACATCCCACATTCCGGTCTTTCATTCAATCCCATTCAACCCATCCGCCAATCCGCCCAAAGCCCAAGAGTCCAGTGTCCCTATTCCATCCCATTCCATTCAATCCCCATCCCCATCCCTATCCTGTCCGTTATCTACTCCGTCCCATCTTGCCTTGTCTGCCTAATGCCCACCTGCCTGCTCAGACGCAACTAGACGGATGTAAAAGAAAAAGAAAAATAGAGGTCCGCATCAGAAACCCGTCTCTCCAGCCTATTCTCGAATGCCGGACCTCTTTTTGCAGATACCAGTAAATCAGACCGGTAAGTAAATTGTAGTAGTGGTACACCCCGTACCTGTTGAAAAACCATGGACTCGCTCGCAACGCAACTAATCCGCAAAACATAACGCCGCAAGCCCCCGTCCAGTCTTATACACACACACGCATTTTCTCTGTACCATGAAGTACCGCATCGCAATTCCGGCACCAATTTTGAGCTCGGTCATATGTTTCTTCAGTCGGCACCCTTCATGACCGTCCGCAGACTGACAATCTCCCTCTTCAATCGCGCGTTCTCCTTCTTCACCCTCGCCGTCTCCTCGCTGTGCTCGCGTAGGCTTCGAATGAGCTCTTCCTTGTCTTCTCGGCCCTTGCCCTTGAGCGCCTTGACAATCTTGCCCAGCTCGCTGTTGAACTTTTCGTACATGAGCTCATTCTCGGCCGTCGACTCTCGGTATAGCTGGTCAATGCTTTTGACCTTCGTCTCGGATGCTCTCAGCGTGCTCTCCATGTCACGCTGGATCGCCGTCTGTCGGTCCGTCAGCTCCGACATCATTGTCGGGATCCGTTCCTCGAGCGTCTTGACTGAAGCTGTCAACTTGCGCAGGTCTAGCGTGTTGGTGCGACCACCGAGACCAGAGTTGACTCGTGACATCTCTTCGGCAATCTTGGACAGCTCCGACTGAAGTGATGCGTCGACATCCTCAACCGCCTTCTTCTCGGTCTGTAGCCGCTCCCGAAGTTTCTGCGGCGACTGCAGGCGGAGCTTGCCGCTTCCTGGTGGCTTGCCAGGACTCGTAGATGGTCTGGGGATCGAGTCGGTTGATTGAGAGACTGGACCTATGGGGCGAGTCGGTCTGAGTGTAGGGATATTAGAAGTGGACAAGCCTCTAGCATGTCCCTTTGGTGTGCGGCTGGGAGTGTTTTCACGATCTGGGGCTGCTGGCGGTGACGAGAATAGTGCTTCAGGCGACATGGGGTTCTCCTTTTGGCGCGGTGAGATCATGCGAGGAGACCGCAAGCTCTGGGATGTCGGGCTTATCGGTATCCTAGACGGCGAGGGTATCCGGGGCGTTGAGTTGAACTTTTCTGATGTTTGCTTATTTATGCGCAACGGCATCATCGCTTCCTCAATCTTTTCTCTGGGATCCGTGATCGTCGCCGCCTCCATAAGGCTTCGCAGATCAGATAGAGAGCTCCGCCGCTTCTTCTTTGATGACTTAACAGGAGGCGTTGACTCGACGTCGGGCTCTCCGATCGTCTCCAGGCGCATGTCGGGTCGTTGCGAGCTGCTCGGTCTGGGAAGCTCGTCAAAAGCACCAGCAATTGGTGGTCTGTCCCTGGAGCCGGGTCTTCTCAGCTTGTTAGGCCCCGGTTGTGTTCCCGAGTCGATTGACCTTGCCCGTGACGATGTCATCTTGGATAGACTAGAACTCGAGGCTGCATCTGCAGAGGCAGGGTGTCGACCGTGTTTGCTGAGCGTGCGCCAGACGGAAGGCCGCTCTGAGTCGTTTTTGCTGTTCTGCCGCAGCAACGTGTCGAAACCGAATTTGCGTCTGATTGAAGACGTATTTGAAGTCAACGATCCCGAGTGCGACTTGCCGCTACGAGAGTTCATAGACTCGAAGGCTTGTTGAACAGTCAGGTTAACGCCGAAACCGGCATCGTCAAAGATTCTATCGCAGTCTTCGACAAGGCGGTCCAGCAAGTTGATGTAGGCTTGCGCTGTACCATCCGAGACAAGAAGTTCTGCAAACGATACCGTCAGGATGCCTCTATCTCCATCATTGCCACAGCCATCAAGCAAGTCGGCAAGCAACTTGATCAGAGCCGTGAAAGCCCTTTGGTTTTGTGGTGCCATCTCCTTGAAGATGAAGTTGACAAAGTCGGCAAAGTTTCCTGGCACCTGTCGGTTCATGCGCTCCAGCAACGTATCCAGGGTCTGCTTCGTCATAATCGGGCCCATCTGTTCGCCCCAAGCGATGCGAATGAACTTTTCAAAGGCAACAAAGATGACATCCGCGCTACACTCAGACGAGGCGTCGAGGTCAAACGGACTCTCAATCAGCCGGTTGTAGAGATCATTGACCAGGAGCTCGTCGGCAAGGGATCGATTCAGCAGCATCCGCCCGATGATACTACCTTTGCGGGCTTGAAGACTGGCGACGTATCCTGTAAAGGTCTGTTCGAGCCGTACCAGGGGGTTCTCGGGGCGATCATCGCCGCCCATCTTGATCCCGTCTTTGCCCCTGGCCGAGCCGTAGATGGAACCTGCTTCGCTATTTGCTCGCGAAACCGGTGGAGGGAACACATTCGTCACAGGTGTTCTGCTGTGCTTCGGTGGGCTGTGTGCTTCAGTATTGGTAGAGCCACCCCAGATGCTGGAGAAGAGTCCCTTGACGGGGGACGAAGCAAGGAACGATCTCGTCTTTTCTGCCCTCGTCATGAGCGGCAGGCCTTTAAGGATCTTGGTGTAGTATGACACCAACGCGGGTGCGAGTCGCATGTTTGACACGCTGTACTGGGTGCCCAGCAGTTGGATTACTGTACCTTATGTTAGCGTCTCACTTTCTTCTTGCAGATATGCACCATCTTACTTCGTCGTGTGAGCGTTGGCAAAAAGTCGTCCAACACCACATCGTCTGTGAACTGTTTGCCGTTCAAGCCAGCGGTCACCATCTTGACTTTCTTCAGGTCGCCGCTGTTGACGTTGACCGTGATTTCGACGCCGTAGTGTCCAATCGGCGCACCCTTGGTGCCCTTCTCGTGGTCAATGACGATGCGAATGGGCGCAGGCTCCCGCCGGCCATCAATGAGCTGGTCGGCGCCCTCCTGGAAGACGGCAGCGAAGAAACCGAGGTTGTTGTCCGACATTCTGATAGACCGAAGCGTCCAAGAAGGGTCCTCGCGCTCCTTTTCCGAGAATCGACCCTCCACACGGGCCTTTACAATATCTTCCGTCCACTTTGACGCTCTCGTAAAGGTCTCCTCCAGCAAGAAGCACCGCGACGTGACAGCGGTGCCCGTCACCCACTCTCCTGCATGCGCTCCCTTCATCTCCTGGGTTGAAGTCATCCAAATAAGTCTGCCATCTGTTGACTCTGTGAAGCGCACGTCTGCCAAGTTATGCCAGCCTGTGAATGCAAGCTCGTAAGATGGCTGACCACCGGCTGCATTCGTCATTGACAGGAGAAGACCGGCCGCTGAAGGCTTGTCGATTTCGCGCAATAGGTCTTTGCCAGTCATTGGCTTGGGTCCCAACTTTTTCAAAATGACCAGGCAATCTGAAAACAAGACGAAGATCCCAGCACGCTCCGCCGCCTCTGGAGGATCAAGCACACGGTAGGGTGCAGGGAGCTCCACAAAGTCAGCTGCGAGGATGAGTCTTCCTTGAGGCTCGAGGTCGAGGGGCCAACTCTCAACCATGTTGCGCAGGCGATTTGTCACTTGCGGCTTATCTGGGATAGGCTCGTCCATGGAGCAGATGTTTGTAATGATGTCGCGGGCTTTGAGCATTGATTGCAGCGCCGGATGTGTCATGGGAAGACAGCTCACAATCTGGTCGATGAGCAGACTGTATCGGGGAAGACGCTGAACAGGTTCGATGAGAATTGAGCGAACGGTCTGCTCGCCCGTTTGCAGAACCCGTTGGCGGAAGCTCGACTGCTGATCCAGGAACGAATTGAGAAGCGTGGGGAAGTGCTGGCTGGCGCGAATGTACTCCTGGTAGCAATCTGTGAACTTTGGGAACCACTCGAGGAACACCCTCGCGATCGCCAGTGCGCCTGTAGGATCCTTCATCTTGGACGGCGACCCCAGCCTGGATCCCGTCAGTGCAACCGTCGTCACCTCCATGTCCCTGACGGCCTCCTCCTCGGTGTCGTCCATAATCTTGCGCAGCTCCTCCATGAAGGCAGAGTTGACCTGTAATATCCTATCCGCCGACCTAGGGAAAAGCTTCTCGAGCTCTTCTTCAGAGGGGCTCAGGCTGCTTGGGTCGCGCTGTTTCGCAGATTGTCTAAAGTCGTCGGCGATGTGCTTCACCAGCTCATTCAGCTTCAGCACGTATCTCTCCTCAGTGTCGACCAGCTCCCCAAGCTTCATTCTCAGATCCACCTTTTGATCCTTGGAGAAGGACTTGCTACGATTCAGCGATGTCGGCTTAGAAGGCGCCCGCCGTAATCTGGAGGTGGGGAGGAAGAGAGGCTCGCCAAGCAGCTTCACCAGTGATGTGTATCCTCCATATTGCCGTAGAGTCGGGTCAAGGAACTCGTCGTCATCCTCGGGCGCATCGTCGAGATCTTCGGGTTGCAGCGGTACAATGGAGCCGGGAGGCAGGACAAAGTCGACGTCCACGTTGCTCAGGTGTTGGGCCTGCAGGGCGGTCTGTAACGTCTCAAGAACTTCGACGGTGTTTTCGCTCTTGATCATGTTCTTGGCGAGGTCAGCGGCGTGCTGCTCGCCAAAGAGGGCCGGCCCACTCCCCGGGCGGCGCCCCCTTGTGGTCGGATATGTGTTCTTGAGGTGGTTCTTGACGACCTCGGGCAGCTCTTGGAAGTACTTGTACAAGCCAAAGGCGAGGCCTCGGTAGATCTCGTCGCCTTGCCATTCGCGCGGCAGGTGGTTGACGACGGCATAGAAGGGCGAGTTGGGTTGGATGGTCAGGCGCGGGAACGACTGGTAGCCGGCGGGGCTGTAGACGTGGATCTGAACGCGGGAGCTGTTGAGGGTGTAGTTGGCGGTAGTAGAGGCGCCATGGAAGATGAGCACAGGCAGGTGTCCGAGGAGGGGATCGGAGGCATGGTATAGAGTGAGCTGCTCTGCGGACAGAGCCAGCTCCTCGGTGACACGAACCATTGTCGGGGCTGGCGATGCGGTCGATCGGTCGGTCGGTCGCGTGGGCTCGTTCAATGGGCCAAGGTCATTGCTGACTGGGCGCTGACCGAAACACGCAGTGCAAAGGAAAGTAAAGAGCCGTCAGGGGGGTATGAAGTCGGCAAACGAGTGTATCGGTGTTCGGTGTGCTGTGGCCTGTGGTGTGTGGGTGTAGTGTGTGTATCGACCGCGTCAGGCGCAAGGTGGTGGTGGTTGAGCTGAGTCGAGTGGCGGTCGAGTCGATGACTGAAGGCCAAGGGTAGCAACGGGCGTTCGCAATGCGACAGTCGACAAAATGGAAATAAGGCTTTCGACGTGCCGGCAAAGGGAAGAAAAAAAGAATCAGGGGGTAAAGAGCGTGAGGAAAAAAGTTGGCAAATTGCCAGGTTGGCTAGCGCGACCAAAGCTGGACAGATGAAGATTGCAGGCGCAGCGATAATTATCGTGTGGTGGGAGTGGTGGTGGTGGTGGTGTCGGTGTCGGTGTGAGTTGGCTGGCGTTGAGCGCAGCCGGGGTCGAGTCGAGTCCGTGGGTTTAGTTGACCTTGGACTTGGAGACAGCAGCGGCCAGCAACGGGGGTCCTCAGCAACAACAGCAGCAACGGAGTCCAGGTAAGTATACAGCGACAGCGACAGCAGCTGTGGGTATCCGTAAGATAGTTAAGGTAGGCAATGTAAAGTAAGGTCAGGTAAGGTAAGGTAGCAGTGTATGGAGGTTAAGGCCTGGATGCACTGGGCTGGGCTGGGCGGTCTGTGGTCCGTGGGGCGCTGTATGCTGTGTGTGTTGTTGTTTGTTGTGATTGCGATGGAGCTGCATGCAAGAGAGGTGAAGCCCAACCCAAGGTTGATGGAGTGTAATCCCGTAAGGCAGAGGGGTCCTGGTCAGGTCAGGATTAGGGAAAAGGCTCCATCAATGATTAAACAGCAGCACCGCAACAATGAGATCCTGGCTCAATCTGGCTGCCCTCTCTGGCAACTTTGTTGAACCCTTTGTTGATCCTCAACTTCTGAAGCAGGCCAACGACGCAGTGAAACAAGGAAACCAGCCTCTTGTCTTCCGTCAGCTTTCTAGTGGTTGTGTTCTTTTTATTTTTCTGCTGACTAGGGTTTTCTTGGGCTGGCTTCCCTCTGTGCCTCTTCACCGACACTCCCATGCAAATGCAAGTAAGTGGACGAGAACAAAGAGGGTTAGAGATGTGACGGGGGGAAGAGAGCGGGAGAGGGAGGATGACGAAAACGCCAGACAAGGGGAGGGAATTAAGCGACGAACGCCTCAGTCCTGGACTCGGGCTAGACCTCTTTACCTTGTCGATGGGAGAACACAATGATAATTCGAAGATCTCTAGGGACAACAGTACATCAACAAACCAGATAATAATATCCAGACTAAAAAGTCAAAAAAAAGAAAAGTGTCCTAGACGACGGAATAAACACCCACTATTGACTGGGAGTCGCGTGCTATGCCGACCGCCTTGGATCTATTGGCTGACTTTAATCAAGATAGGTACCTACCTACTTATTATACTGTCTACATCTTCAATGTACCAAAATGCATCTTACCGCAAGTCCGAGTAATAGAGAAATTTGTTTCCATCAATTGCTTCTGTGACTGGATGCTCACAAACAGGAAAATGCAGCTGCACGTCGGCAGCTCCAAGTGTAGGCAGGTTCGGGCTTTCAGCATCGCATCGCTCCTCCCCTCTCTCGCTTTCGCCCAGTCTGGGCAATCAACATAGAAAAAAAGTGGCCTCGAAACGTCAACATCAACAGATCCAACGCGCCCCGCCCATCGCCCACGACGCGTCCACTCAGAGCTGTCAAAAAGTGCATTCAGGTTCCCCACCCGTAACCTTGCCGGACCAGCAACAGCCGCACTAAAACAGAGCACTCGGGCCCACGGTACGTGCTCTGTACAAGTATCGAAAAAGCTCGGATACTCAATTCTGCCCAATCATGCATCTTTCGATCTCTCAGCCCCACTAGATCCCCTGCCAGAATCGATGCAGCCAATGACAGGAGCTCCCCACGAACCCCTCCTCCTTCCTCCCATGAATCCCATCGCATGCCGTCCAATCTAATCGGCTCTCCGTCCCAAAATCTCCAAAAGACGTCTCTTTTCCCACCCCGCACCGATTACGCGACTGCTGATTCGATCTCACAACCTCATATCAAAGTTTCACCGGGCTTCCACATCTTACTCCTTCAACAACGTCGTATTTCCCATAGATCAAAGACAATACCTCCGAGTCAAGCACTATATCTCGATAGATAAAAACATGTCTACCCAAGACCCCGGTATCCCCTTGACCCATGCCCCAGACGCCAGAGGCTACAAGCTCATCGAGCTGCCCCCCGACCTAGAGGCCCTGCTCACTGCCGAAGATGCTCCGGTGTAAGTCAACCCCCCAGCCGTACCTCAGTCCACCCACTCTGAGCCTCAATTACGACATCTCACTTCACCTCACCTCACCTTACTTAAACCACACTCCCCTTCTCCGTGTCTCGCATTCACCTTCGCCGTATAATCATTCCCTTTACATGCATTCCCTCATCTACAATCCACGTCACCTCTCTTACTCACTCACACACCCACTAACACACAACAGCATAACCCTTACCTCAACCCCAACAACAGCCCTCCTCAAAACCCCAGACAAAACCTACAAACTCCTTCAGAAAAACACATCAAACTCCCTCATCCTCCTCGCCTCTCACTCCGCCGCACCCTCAGCAGACTCCTCGGACGACAGTATCCCCGTCGCCGGCCTGGCCGCCATCGCCACTATCCACGAAACTGTTGAGCTCGTCGCCCAGACCGAGCCGCAGACGATATCAAATCTCAAAAACACTGGCAGCAAGGGGAAATGGCACGAGAAATTTGGTCGGGGGCGGTAGAATTCTTGAACATACACACACTTACACTTACACGCGCGCATCATATATCTCACTAATCAATGCTTCGCGATTCACACAAGACCTGGTGAACTCTTTGCTTTTTAATTACCTGGAGCGTGGGATGCTTCATAGTTCACACACCCTCCTTTCACATTCGATGTATCTGCTTCTCAAAAAGAACCATGACTTATTGATAGGAGACTTCATTGATGGTATCTCAAATGATGTATACCATGCTGGCATGGCACTCGCTTCCACCCTCCTCCCCCCCACATGAATGCCTCGATGAATGCTAGGATAATGAGATGGAGATGCCCTCCAACGCCGTGCTCAAATGTCATCCGATAACCACCCTGATGGGAAACCGCCTGAAAAGTAAAGTAACAAGCAAGGAAAACGCAAGATAACAAGCTCGTATCCTGCTTTCCACGAACCAAACAAGACGACGCTTTCTCCTTCCTGTGATGTGGTAACGACCACCCAATAATACTGGCCTCCCATCGCTTCGTCGTCGTGTAAGAAAAATGTGTAAGAGTAGAAATAGAAAGAACTCCGGAAGACGGCAATCAGTCCATCTTGATAGGATGATCTCTGCTTCCTCCGGGAATACCATTCGCCCTGCCACGCTGAAGGGCAAGGTGTCGTCGAAGTGCGTGACCTGCATCTATAGCCCGTTGGGTTGCTCGACTCACGGGTGCCGGGTTATGAGCTTGGGGTCTGTCTCGATTCGTGATGCTGGCCACATATTGTGCGAGTCCGCCATTGGGGCCGGCCACCAATTGAGCTGCAGTCAAATTGGTCCTGGCCTGCTGCGCGGGCTCTTCAGGTCGTTGCGGTTGACCTCCGGGAACATCCAGTTTCTGCCACATGGCTTCGCGTTCCAGTCGAGTCAAGAATTGCTGAGGCGGATGCTCGGCCTGCTGCGGTGCTTGTTGCTCCCCGGCCTTCACATCAATGTTCTGTCTCGCCCGGATGTCGGGAGGCCGCTGCACATTCCTATCGCGTAACTTCTGCCTCTTCAACTCTCTAGGTTCTCCGTACTCTGGACCCCATCCCTCTTCAAAACCCAACTGGTTAGGATCATTGAGTCTGGCCTGGTCGGGTGGCGCGATGGCCGGCACTACTTGTTTCACAGGCTGAGGAGCGATCATCGGCGGGTGAGGCGCAAGCATCGGCACTGCTTGGGCTGCGGGCTGGCAAAGCACGCGAGGCGGGTTAGGATTATAAACCACCGCTGGCCAACCCTGTTGAACCGCCGCCGGCGGTGGTACTTGGAATGGTTGCAAGTAGGGGATTCCGGGATGTTGTGCATTCGGGAAAGCGACTCCAATGATTGGGCGGTAATGCTGACCGAGCATCAAGTTGGGATTATGGCCCTGAGGGTATTGAGCATGTACCGGGCCCCTTTGCAACTGCTGATTCGCGACTCCAGCAGCAATACCTTCCGGCGGAACCATCGCATGAGCCTGTGGCTGTGGCATCATCGGCTGAGGTTGAAACGGCCCTACCGCGTTGGCGAGAGGCATGCCAACAACTGGATTCATCCCGGGTTGGACGTTCTGGGCCTGAGGATTTTGCGGTGGAAGTTGTTGCCAGTAGGCAGCCCGCAGTTCGGGGGGGTTCTTGGAGACCGCCGATGCCGGTTCTCCCGAGTTGACCTTGAGAAGGTCTTCCTTTGCCTTCATCGAGGGGTGTCGCTCGAGAATATCCTGACGGGCTTTTGCCTCGGCCTGTTGCACTTCCTCATTGTGCCGTGTGTTGACGTCGTCAAAGAGGGGACAATTGCCCTTCTGTCCACCTCTTGCCTGGTCGTCAAAGTGGGCATAGTCGCATGACTTGGAACAAACGTAACACTGGACGTTCCTACATCCACGCTTTGTACAGGTCATCTTGTTGCACCCTGATTCTTTGACAAAAGCCATGCCACCTGCGTCGTGTTAGATGTCAGTATCAGGTGCAGTCTAAGCAATTGTCTTGGCTCAGTCGCCAAGCAAGCAAGCAAGCAAGGATACTCACACTTGTTGCATTTGCGGATGAGCGCACTGGACATGGCCTCCTCAATTTGACGCCGAGCACCTTCTGCGCTGTCCCCAGCAGCTTCTTCACAGGTTCTGGGTATATGGGTCTCTTCTCTGCAAAGCCGGCAGCTTACCACCTGGCAGTCGGGATTCTCGCACTTGAACTCCTTGTTGATGTCGACCGGTGGGTACTCGGCGGCATAAGGGCAGAAAGGACAGGTCTCCAGGCCGTCAATGTCAGCCATGCGGAGATTAGCCTCGGATTCGATGCGATCTAGGGCTTGATTGAGTTGATCATTGATGAACTTGGCGCGTTCTTTGTGAGCAAATCCAGCATCGCATCCATCTGTGGAAATGCAGGTAATCTCATACTTTGAGAGGCCAACCACCGTTTCAGCGTTGCGGCGTGCACATTCGACACAGAAGAACTTGAAAGGGTCAGCAATAGTCTGGAAGAATGGAGTGTCATAAGCTCACATGGTTCCCATTCTCGCAACAAACCATACGATTGAGAGCAAACTCGCTATAACAGCAGCCACAGTCCGCAACAGTGCCAGTCACCTTTGCCTCCGCAAAATTGGCAGCTTCTCTGGCAGCCTCGAGTTTAGCTGCATCGAGCCTGGTACGGGTCACATTCAGCACTCGACGGGCGGCCACCAGTTCTTCCAAAACTCTCTTTTCGTCGTGAGTCGCCGTTCTGAGAAGTTGATCCAATTTCTCACCCTCGAATATACGATCCGATGGTGGGGTTGGTCTCTTCTTGAATGCAAAGCCGTAAGGGAGACCTTCTCGCACACCGTTCTTCAGATCCTCGACAGCTTTATCTATGGCAAGGTACGTAGGCAGCAATTTGCACTCATTGTCGTAAAAGATCTTCATGACGGACTTCTGGAGAACTTGATGGAAATCATGCTTCAAAATCTCCTCTCTACGTCAAGTGTCAGCCTTATCTATATATTGAGCATATCGCAACAAGGTAGTAGCCATTCTGATGGCCTTGACCGTGGAAGCTGGGCTAGGGAAAGGAACGAACTAGACTTACGACCTGTAGACGTAATGTCCTTTCTTTTCCCGCTCTCGATCAGGGTTAGCATAGAGGCGGAGGATGTTTTCCTTCTCATCATCTTCAGCCGGTCCTTCACGTTTCCGCTTAAGACTTTTCTGGCGGGATGCTTTGGGGTACGATCCGTCTTTCTCGGCAGAACCCAAAATGGTGTCGATGGTTTGGTCGGCGTTATGGTTGGCCTTGGCGGCTGTCTTCTCCAAGTACTGAAGGCATATGTCTGGGAAGACGCTGAGGACTGTAGCCGCACAGGCGTCCTTGTTGTAGTTAACTTGCTCCATTACTGCGCTAGGAGGCTCTTTCAACCGGTGATGTATCACAAGTCCATGAGCGAGAACAGTTTTGACGTGTTGCGCGAGCCTTGGCAGAAATCTAGAACTCCTTCGGGCAACAATGTTGTTTGGGGCGCGAGCGATTGGTTGATGCGCCTGGACTCTTGGAAGTCGACTACGTTTTCCATGATCAGCAACATTTCCACTTTGACAGCACTTGCTCAGCAAGGCAAACATGATAGGCAAGCTGGAAAAGCAGCGTTGAAATTGTATCAAAATCCGGCCCAGTAGTCTCATCGTAGAGTAATGAACACAATGTTACAACACAGCCGAACAAACAGGAATCTTTTTGGTAAACGTGAGCCCGCCGATGGAGGCGCATGAAGAGTAATAGACGGAAACGAGAAATGAGTTCAACACACTTGCGTTGAATATCGGAAGCCACTCACACCTCGCCTGCGAAATTTCTCGGTGCGCTCGCCGACAAAGCTTGTAAATGAGTCCCCGGGGACGGATTGGGTCGAGTAGGAAGGAAGGTTCAGGGTAAATGAGCAACCAAAGAGGCTATTCGTGAAGAATAATACAAAATGGAAGCGCCACCAAGCCTCGAAATGAAAAGGAGAAGAAAACATGACAACAAAGTGCATCGTACTTACCTGCGGGACGAAGGTGTCACTGCGGACCTTTTTGTCTTGGATTTGCCTCCTTGATGCGCAACGAAGAAGGTGCGAGTGATCTAATGTTGATGGTCTGACCGAGACTCTGGAAGCGCGTGATGTTCGGAGGGAAATCGATATTCGCCGTAGGAGGTGAGGTGGTGAAATATGGGATTGCGCCGAGTAATGAGACGGGAGGTGGGAGGCGGGAGGTGGAAAGGTCAAAAGACGGGAGGGTTGGAGGTGAGAGAGAGGCGGGACCGGATCGAGGTGGGTGGTGAGATGCCGTCCTTGACGTCCTTGACGATAGGCGGTACGGGCAAGACCAGACCGTCGTGCCTTGCGCCTTCCCGAGGACCCTTTTGGTTCCAAAGATCTCTGTTTTTTTTCTTCTTCCCCTTCCTTCTCTCTGTATCTCTTTTACTTGGCCTCTCTTCTGTTTTTGCCTTCCGCAGGCGATGTTCTCAACACCTGTGTGCATGGGGCTTATGAAAATAAATAGATAAACTTCACCTCAGGATGTTCCAATTTTGAAGAAAACAGTAACCTGGAGCCTCGCAGCCTTCCAAACGGCCTTCACCTTCTCGTCTGCCTACCAACAAAATCCTCACCGTCGTTCGACAGCTTGGGAATCGCCTGACTCCGTCTGACCGGACGATTTTACCCCTCGCTCCCGGTGCGCCTCGCCTTGCCGCACCAGGGGTTCCGTTTTTTCGCTGTCTTACCTCACCTAATCGTATTTTCTAGACTTTCCGATTTAGCCCTGTCGCTGAGTTATAAGGCTTCGATAAAACGGTGACACGCAACTTGGCGCCCACGAAGTTGCGACTCGCATTGCCAGTCAAGGTGAAAGCGGGCATGAGGTGACGTTGGGAAAATCATCTGGACCTGACTTAAACCGATCGGTGGATCGTCAGATGGCCCCGGGAAGTTGGACAGCACCCCGGCCCTCTCGTTAGCGCAAATCTTCCGCAGGGGAGGTCCCAGGAGGTGGCTCGAACGGGTGCGCATTCCCATGCCGAAGGTGTCATTGGGTGCCTCTTGTCTCACTTATTGTCACTGACATGGCGACCGCTCGTATTAATGAGTACTTTGAGTGGACAGACGAACAGACGACGACGACCTACAACCACATGCTACTTGGGATGCCGAGAACTTCACATTCATACTATGATATCTTCCATCAATACAGGCTTAGGTATCACCGGTTTGTCTTGCGACTTCAAGTATCAGGCTGTGAAGGCAGGTACCTCACACCCTGACACCCTCTGTTCTATTGGATGCAATGTCCACTTCTGAGGGTGATCAGGTGCTCTAACCTCGACCCGTACATACACTAGCAGAGTCGCAGAATCGGACCTTTCCAGTAGGGCCAGCGCATCTCGGCATACGAGCTGAAGAAGGCTCAGTCCTCTATTGGTGGCGGTAGTTAATAATGCCCCCATCTATGCATCTTGCGACGAATAAGGATGGTGGCACACCTATTGTACTACAGCCGCCTGCCAGCTGCCCAGTTTTGTCTGCGACTCTCAAATCCCGACGCACAGTGATGAAAATCCTCAGGCGGTCTTCCGTCTTGCATGATCTCCTTCAAGCCTAGATGCACTACTTGTAATCATCGTCCGAGGCCAAAAATTCGTCATCGTCGTCCTCTTCTTCGTCCTCTTCCTCGCTCTCAGATATGGGCCTACGCCGGCGCCTCGATGATCGTCTCGCCACTGCCTTCTTCTTGGGCTTCGGTTTGGCTTTCACTGGTGCAGGAAGAGGCTCGGGTTCGGGTGAAGCTTCCATCTGATCCTCTGCATTCTCCGCGTCTTCCGCGCCACTCGGGCCGTTGGCAGCATGCGGCTTCTCAGCATAACCGTGATCCACTTGCAGGGCGTCATCCATATCTTCATCTTCATCGTTCTCATCCACCACTGGGAAAAAGCCAGAGGTAAACCGCTTGGGTTGTTCGACCTCTTCTTCGTCATGCCCTTCGGGGAAGAAGCCACCTGCCATTTCCTCTTCTCTCATCTGCATCGCTTCGGCGTCCACCTGGCTCTTGTCTTCTTCTTCGTCGGCGTGAGCGTTTTTGGTAGCCTTTGTCGCCCCGTGTTTCTGGAAAACAGGAACACTGTCATCGACGTGACCATAGTCTTGGCGAATGCGTTCGACAATTCTGAGACCTTTCAAGAACTTGCTCCACATGCTCAACGCTGCTTTGCGTCGCTTCTCGTCCTCCTTACGCGCTCGCTCTGCCTCGTCCTTGCGGATCTCTTCCATAACCTGGTCGTGATACTCCTCGGCTATGACAACACCTTGAATGACTGGGACGGCCATTCGATTACCAAATTCGAAGTCCACGACGGCTTCGGCATAGTCGATCCCGAGCCTCTTGCAGACCTTGACGGCTCCTCGGAAAGGGACGTGTGCGGCGCCTTCCGGGCACATGTGCTCAGCAAAGAGATCGATGTTACTGGGAGGTGTCAGCATTTGAATCAATGCAACGAGCACGCAGACGTACCCATAATTGTTCTTCGGGATGACTCCATCTTTGATAGGTGGCGGAATAATCCAGTCCGTCTGCTCAAAGCTGTACAATCCTTGAAGAACCTTTTCGCCGCTGGCAGCCTCGGCCTCGGCGATCTCTCTTCTCCTGTTGGTCGTAGCCGCGCGATATGGCACCCTCTTCAGGGGCATCTCGCCAGCTTTGGGTGCCCTGCCTTGCTTGTGCCACGTCTCTGCGCTCTTGACGTTGACCACGTCCTTCCTCGAGTAGACTGGTTCTGGAGAGAATTCTCCGCCCTTCCCTTTATGGAGGAAGGTCTTGACAGGCTTTGCTGTAGGTAACAGGGCCTCCTCGCGCTTCATGTGACGCTCGAGACAAAACTCTTTAGACTGCTTGTAGTACGCCATTGTTTCATTACCTTCCTTGACCTCTTTCTTCTCCGGTTGGGCGGGTTTGAGATCTGTTGAATCCTCAACGTCGTCTTCCTCGGTGAGTGGGTGCTTTCGACTGCCCTTGACATAGCCCTTGATAGCTGACTTGAACCAGTCGAATTGGTCGTATCGTTTCACCTTCCCGTGTCTGTTGTAAATCGGTACCTTTTCCAGTGGCATTCTCGCCCCTTTTGTACGACCTGGCCACAGTTGCTTTCGTAAATAGCGAACCGTTACGTCCTTGGCTGTGCCATCTGGAGAGAATCCAACGACATATGCCATGACTTGTTTCGCTTTTTCTGCCTTGCCTCCACGTGGTTCGAGAGACTCGACTAATTCTCGATTAGTACCGACAATGTTCTTGACGATTGGATCCGCTGGCAAATATTTCTTCGTCACCGGCGAAAGCACTTCCGTCCAATAATGTGGAAACTCCAGGTCCATGTCAAACCTCTTCGACGCCGAGGTTGATTTTCGTGGGGTCACTGATAACTCTATGACCGACGCGTCGTCGCTGTCCGGATGCTCCAAGCCAAGCTCATCGTCCGAGTCATCTATCTCAATGACGGCGCTCTTGTTACTGGCTTGTCTCGTGCCAGTCTTTCGTCCTGCTGTTGTTTTTGGTGCCTGCTTTGATGTCTTCTTCACCGGGGTATTCTTATTCGTCGTCTTCGTCCCCCTTTTCGCCTTACCGCGTCTGCCATCTGCCGCCTCACTCGCTTCGTCACTGCTTTTTGGTGCCGAAGTTGCAGTCTGTTCCGTCTCAGGATCTGCCTCCTCCAGCTTCGTCCAGCCGAAACCAACTGGCTGGAGATTCGCGACCATCCGTGCCCGCAACCCCAAAGCCCTCATAAGCGCGGTGAAAAGTTGCGATCCCACATCTCGGCTTCCTGTGCAGTCCTGAGCGCATTTTCGAAACCCTTCAAGTCCATTAATCCGCTCTCCAAACTTTTCCTCGTCTTTCCCTTCCTTCTCCCAGGCTTTTCGCAACCGGCCAAGTCGTTCAGGCGGCATGTATCCCCACTTTCGAATCCCGGGTGCCGTGACGCGGAAGCGTTGCCTCCACCACGCCGCGAGAGCCCTCATAAGTCTGAACAGTGGATCGCCGTGGCTCATGTCGACAGCACCTGCCTCCAGCCTTTCAGCGGCAGCGCCCCAATCCCGAGAGTCCTCGTTTTCGGTCTTCTTTCCTTTTCCCTTTCCCCTGGTCTTCTTCGCTGGTTTGGCCGCCTTAGTTGGTTTTTGCTTTGGCTTGGTGTCTAAGCCGCTGGTCCTTCTCCATCGCTCTACTTCTTCCCACAAACGAGGGGGAACATGAGACATCATGATCGCCTGAACTTCCTGGTCGGATACCCATGAATTCCTAATGGCATTGTGCCAAAGAAGGTACTGAACGTGAATGCAGTGCGTCACACTGCGAACCTTCTTTTCACGCTTCGTAGGTCCCTTCTTGTCGCCGTAGGGATCAGTCATAGCGGTACCAAGCCCGGCGTCAAGGGTGAGCTGCAGGTCTTTAGAAGTAGTCGGCGCCACTGCCAAGGTTGTTCTCGGGGCAGGAACATCCTCAAACTCGATGTCATCGTTATCGTCATCTTCAGAAGCTTCCTCCGTCTTGCGACCGTTTGCAAGAGGCACATCCTCGAAATCGCCGTCAGATAGATCGCTCAAGGAACTGGTCTCGTCACTGTCGCTGATGGTATCAAGCGCAGCGCGGCCGACCTTGGATGACTCAGACGTGGTGGTAGCATCCAAATCGTCGTACAGCGTCGGCTTTCTGCGGCCGGAGCTGGCGGGAGTCTTTCCTTGCCCTTTCGCTACCTGTTGTCGTTTGGGGGTCTGCTTGGCCGGCGACTCCTCGCGCAACCGCTTTCGCGGTACATGAGGAGGCATTATGTCGCGTTGGTGTCAGGAAAGAAACATGGCCGTAGTTCAAAGGCGCAAGCTCTGAGAAGCTTTGCAGGGGAGATGCGACAGGACCGTTAACAACGTCATTGATTCGCGAGGAACGCGCAGGTACGCGACCCACTTTAGGGGTCCGGGGACCCGCTAGATCGGATCCGATTAAATACTGGGTCACATCCGGGGATCGCCTGGGTCGCCCCTCCATTAGCTCCGGCTCTTCGCCGTTATTTCCATGTCTCTACAGGAGAGCAGTTTGGATGACCAATATCCACAGACACATTTGACTTCCCTCGGCATATTGCGGAAGCTTCATTGACTTTGTGATCCAGTATGCCAAATTAGCTCACATCATGGTAAAGTTGCGACTTTGGTTAGTGAGCCACGGCCCATTATGGATCTTACCCTTTCAGGCTGCCAGTGGCCACGCACACGCTGTACTTGGCGCCAACTCCCAGCGGTTGCCCCGCTGACAGCGACCCGTGGATTGAGTCAACTTAACTGAGCGAAACCCGCCAACTGGCGCATTCCAGACCCTTCCGCCGCCATTTCTCATCAACCCGACATCGCCATCTCCGACACTGCCACCCTCAGCCTCGTGCCACCCGCTGCGCCCACACTGAGGTCTACGCAAGCTCAAGAAATCTCCGAAGACTGTTCAATATTATAGTTAAATAGACGGAGACGCCAAACACGTCATCGCAATGGCATCTTCATCCACCCCCGAAGAGACTAGCTACGTCAAGATGGACGAATCCAAAGACGGCTTCGACGAGACTCTCGTCGGCAAACACTGCGAGTACGAATACTGCAACCAGCTCGACTTCCTCCCCTTCTTCTGTCAAAGCTGCAAACACACCTTTTGCCTCGACCACCGATCCGAAACCACACACAAGTGCGCCAACGCCGGCGCCTGGGCCGAACGCCGGCGCAAGGCGGAGCTCGCGAAACCCTCCTACGGCCAAGGCCGCCAACTGCGTGACACCGTCACCCAGAAGCCCTGCGCATCACCGACCTGCAAGACCACCATCGGCACCTCGCTAGTGACCGGCGTCCACTGCCCAGGCTGCAATCGCGACTACTGCCTCAAGCACCGCCTGAAGGAGGACCACGACTGCAAGAACCTCGTTCCGCTCGGCGCGCGGCCGGGGTCACAAATCGATGTCGCGGCGCGGACGAAGAGCGCATTCGACAAGTTAAAGGCATGGGGATCAGCAAAGAAAGAACAAGCTGGCAGGGCGCTGCCCAAACCGAAGCCCACATCCGCATCTGCACGCCTGATAGCTGTGAACAACCTTAAGAAGACGGCAAAGGGCGACGATAAGCTGGCGCAAGAAAAGAGAGTCTACCTATACGTCGAAGCAGAGGCCGCAACCGCAAAAGCAAAGTTCCCTAAGGGCGAGTTCTTCTTCTCCAAGGACTGGGTGGTGGGCAGGGTGCTGGACGAAGCCGCGAAACGGTTACAGGTGGAGAACCTCAACAACCGATCATCGAATGAGCAAGACAAACTACGAGTGTTCCACGTGGAGGGAGGACGACTTCTAGAGTTCAACGAAAAGGTTGGAGCTTCGCTGGTTAGCGGCAACACTGTCGTCCTGCTCCGCGGTGTCGGACCGCCGCCTGACCTCATGGAGGTTTAGCGAATGATGATGACTTGATGAATATGTTCATAGTGGCATTTTCCGTATATACCCTCAATTTTACACACCACACGCCGCCAAATCAAAGGCCGTGCTAATCGCTCCTCCCTTCAATACCATGTTCCGTGAATTGGAGATTTCCTTCATGCGCCGAGCCAAGTCCGATTGAGTTGTGATCCAAATCATCCTAAACGCCACGCCTACAATTCCTTTTCCTTTGGTCTCTTCGCCAATAGGTCTTCACGACCGGTGGCTGGTGCATTGCCAACAAACTCCTTGCCACCGTACGACTCGAAGCCCTTGTGGAAGATCCACTCCACAGCGTTCTCGACCGGCTCATCGAAGAGGCTGGGCAAGAAAGGTACGACGGCAAGACCGAGACCAATGGGGCCCCAGGTTCTTATTTTCGGGTTCTTTGCGTTCTTGAGGGCTCGGCCAGAGTACCTCACGACGCTGTGGATGGTGAAAGCCGGGAGACCCATACTGGCAATGCTCTGGAAGATGCCTCGCTGGATCATGACAGTCCTGTAGTCGTCCAGCGGCGCAACCTTGCCACCCGGGACCACTTCGCTGGGGTGCGTTGCATCTGACACGGCATCCGGAAGTCCCGTAATCTTTGCTTGCCGCGCCGTAAGCTGGAGGTGCGGGTTGAGTACGCGCTGGTTAGCCCAGTACGCCTTGTAGCCCTCGTAACTGACATCGCCGAGGATGTAGAGCCACGAGATTCCGTATGCGGTGCGGACGAGACCGGGATGCGCGACGGGCCGGAAGGATTCGCCAATATCAGAGGTGTAGGCGACGTATCGATGGGCGGACATCATGATGGTGCGGATGCGTGTCACGTAGGCGGCATAACGGACGTTGGATTCGGTGGACTCGGGCGCACTGTCGCAAGTCAACTCAGCACTCTAGTTCAGTCGCAACGGTCGGCACTCACTACCCGTCCACCAGCTCGTCGAAGAAGTTATCCTCTCTGTCTGACTTGTCGACTATCTTCTGCAGCGCCGCAGGCAGCTTCTCGCGTGCCGGCAGCTTTTGGGGTCGAACGTCTTGGCGCCATCTTCCTTTGGCGACTCTTTCGGTTGTTCCGGTGTCTTGTCCTGGCTTCTTCCCCACATGTTGTATACTTTTGGTGTTGATGTACAGATTACTTCGTCTGAATCTGAGCTATTACCACCCAAGTTTGCTCCTGGGGGGGTGTGATAGCTTTATGTGTGCATGGATGGCGGTAGTGCTGGGGGAGGGGAGCCTAAAGGCAGTCGCCCTGCGCCAGCGCGCGCCGGAAACGCCCGCGGCATGAATCTTCTGATGTCGGTTGTGACGTCGGCTGCTGCTTGGTTCAGAGAGGTGCATCGGGAGCTTCAGCCACCGGGGGCACTTGCATTAACTTATCCATTTGTGGCGCAGCAGCGATACGGAGGTACATATCGGTGGCTGGAAATCCCCGCTCTCCCGATACTGGCCAGAGGCTCAGAGCCGGACTTGATGGCCTGACAATCCAGGCACTTTGCTCTCCAGCTTCCGAATGAATTTCGAGCTCCGAGTATCGACATCCACGACGAATCTCATTCATCTCCAATTGCCTCCATCCCATCGAACCAATTCACCCCCGAAGGCTCGCAAACCCCCTAATACCGCCAAAATGGTTCAGATGTACACTATCGCCGGTCGCCAGATCGGATCCCACTACGTATGTCGCTATCCCGAGCGCGCCTCTCTGCCTCCGCTGCTCCCTGCAACTCCCGAACCCGGCCCCCGAGCATTATCCAAAGGCTAACCTCTCTTTCCGCGCAGCTGGCCATGGGCGTCCTCGCGACCCTCTTCGGCGGCGCTTCCTACGGCCTCAGCGGCAGCAAGCCCAAGGCTACTGCCACTCCCCCCATCAACGCATCCAGCTCCGACGAGGCCGACTTCATCAAGTGCGTCATTTCCCCCTGGACGGACAGGAATCCCTTCCCCATTTGCTGACGAGGAGACAAAACAGGAAGTTCTTGGACAGCGCGGACAAGGATGAGAAGGCGAAACACTAGACGGGCGATATTCCGGGCGAAGTCAATGGTCTTTTGCGACCTAGTGTATTCATAGAGGGCTTGGCTGATGGGAATGAAGACATTTTCTAACCAGCAAAAACACGACGAACGACATGTACCGCGAGGGTGACTCGAAGTCGATATCAATACGCATTTGTCACGACCTTTATTCAGCAACAAATAGTCTGGACACAAGACGGATGATTCAATTGATAAGAAGGGATTACCAGGGGACCAATCTGAACTCGCCGTCTTCAAACTCGCAAAACGTCCCCGACGCAATAACGCCCCTTTCTGACTCTAATAATCGTACAAAGACTTCAGCTCCATCCACCGGCTCTTTGGTGCCGCGAAACCCGTTGAAAGCTGTCTTGCAATGCCCGGGGCTAGTTGCCCAGAATACGACTTTGTCATCAGATGTCCTTCGTTCTTCGGCCAGGTGGAATTGCAGGGTCAGCATGTTCAACGCAGCTTTTGCCATGCAATAGTTGATGGAGGCTGCTGGCGGAAGCTGTGTGTTGTGTGAGACAAGCCTGCGACCGAAAAGAGTGGAAAGTGATGTGTGCTTACCTCCCCATTCGCTGTTCTTGTCATGCTGCCTCGAGCGCTCGAGGTCATGATGACTCGAGGATATTCAGCTTTGCGAAGAAGCGGAAGGAATGCTTGAGTGACGATGAGGTTTGAAGTGACACAGTTTGCGAGCACAGAGTTAGTTGCGGACCGGACATCGGGGAGGTCAAGTGATTCGGGAACGGTGACTCTCGCGGCGTTGTTGATTAGCACTGTTGATATTAGCTGCTCGGATTTGCAGCGAGAAGATAACTGATTACTAACCATCTAGTTTGCCATACTTCTCTTGGGCGACGGCAGCGGCGGCCACAATACTCGCATCGTCCTCAATATCAAATGGCAATATATCCAGAGCTTCTTCGATACCAATATCTCTCCATTTGCGAACTGCTTCTTCCCCAGACTCGTGCGTGCGGCATCCGATGAGGATGGTGGAGTTGGGAACTCGACCGGCAATCGCCTGGACTATGCCAAGCCCGATTTCTCTATTCGCGCCAGTGACAAGAATGATAGCCATGGTGACTGCACTGAAGAACAAGATGCTTGGCATCGGAATCCTTGCAACAGACTCTATGATTGCCTTTATACCATTGCGCAGTGCATTCATAGTAAAACTCGCTGCGAGTCGATCGCCGGACTTAGTCAGTCGTATGCCCATAAACCCGATGTTGGCGCCGGGACGGCGGAGCAAGTTGTGTAAGCCCGATACGGCACCAGTAAACTCTACCCACATCGCCCGAGCCGTTCCGGCCCCAGTCGCGGCATCACTCCGCGCCGGAGCTCGTGGCAAGCCGATACATCATTAGATGCGGGACTGATCCGAAATTTTTGCGATCTAGGTCTCGGCTGAAAGTAACGGGATATCACTGTTAAGAGAGAGGGGAAAGGTAAATTTTAGGGGTTTTTGGTTGTTTGCTGCAAACATGCTTCCCGATACAATTAGGGCCGTAGGGGTTAGTAATCTAGCTGGGCTAAGCAGTGTCAACGATAATCAACTCACCACAAACAACAACCAAGAAAACATGCATACAGACAGAGCATCTTCACCATGACAACGATTGAAGAGACAGGTATCAAGTCCGTTGCGACTCCAGTCGAGGTAAGACTATCCTTTGGGGCTCGTAATGAGAGCCAACTACTCAAATCTACGTGTTAACATCAGGTAGATACGCGATCGTCTCAGTCCGGCGCCAGCATCACGTCCCAGCTCAAACAAAGTGAGGATCTCCCACTCCATTGAACACCTTGCTTATGCTGCTAAAGAGGCACTTCGCAGGCGGGAATCTCAATCATCCAATACGACCCCGCTCTCGTCTCCATCATCGGCCCAAGCCCAACTCACGCCCTCCTCCTCTCCTCCGTAGATACCTCAGCCAACGCCTTCTTCCACCGTGGATGCGTATACATCCCCTCCCGAAAGGAATTATGGACGACCTCCGCCCCTCTCGCGGCAACTGACCCCACGCGACCCCCCACGATCCTCATGTCAAAGGTCAACGTCGAGTCCAGCAAGACCAACGACACGCTCGCCGTGAAATGGGCCAAAATGCGCCCGCCCCAAACCATGCCCATGCCGGCGGGCGGCTGCTTAGTAGGAGACGACGTCGCCGTCTGGTGTTCCCAAGGAAATATGGCCTCGCAGACGGGCGGCGTGCTCATGATGCAGGCGGGTAGACACCCGCAGCGCGTGGCGTCCGGCTACTACGGCCACGACTTCAACTCCCCGCACAGCGCCGCCTTCTCGCCGCTGGACAACGGTATCTGGTTCACGGACCCGTGCTGCGGGCATGAGCAGGACTTTAGGGTGCGTCCTCAGCTGCCGCCGCAGGTGTATCGGTGCGAGCCGAAGACGGGAGAGGTGAGGGCCATGGCGGATGGGTTTAAGCGCCCGACTGGGATCGCGATTGACGAGGAGTTTTCGATGCTGTATGTTGCGGATGCTGGTGGTGTGCGTGTCGATGGGAGTCTTGACTTGACTGAGTGAGTTCTCTGTTTCCTTGTTTCCTCGTCTTATTCCCCTCCAGCTCCGACTAAGATATTCTAGACCGCGGAGTATCTACACTTTTGATATTGTGAAGCGGAGTGGTTCCGTCTTCCTGGCGAACAGGCGGCTGTTTGCCCTGGCTAGGAGAGGTGCTCCCATGCACCTCATGTGCGAGAATGGCAACGTGTGGGCGGCCTGTAGCGACGGCATTGAGATTTGGAGTAATGGCGGTTCATTACTTGGCGCAATTCTAGTTCCAGGCAAGTTTGACCGCTCTGAATCTGAGATTTCATTTTACATGCTCCTGATGCTGACATTGCCTCTCTGATAGGTGGTGTCATGAGTTTCTGTCGCGGGCCAGATGACACGGTATTTATCTGTGCCGAGCAGAGGTTGTGGAGGCTCCAGCTTTCTGGTGATCATTCAGTTGCTAGCCCAGAGTTGCTTTAAGCTACAGTGATATGAGTATGAAGACTGGCATGAGGTGTGGCTATTAAAAGTCTTCTTGATCGCTGTACTTAATTTCAAGCGGGTGAGGTGATTGTCGGAAGCATGGGTGCGCAGTAGGCCTAGGAACTAGCGTGAAGAGATGTAGCATCGTAAGACAATTCTTACTCGGCTCGTAGTCTGCTCAAATCGGAATATGAGGCAATTGACTGCAAGGTAGCAGGCTGGGAGATGGGCAGGGTCCTCGACTTCAGTGACTGCCTCTGAAAGTCGAGCCGAGTTCCAACACAAATTAAGCACAATATTATTCCTTTAATTCTATGAAAGCCCTCAAAACTGGACATTTTTGAACTTAGCCACGATGATTCTTGAGTAACATAATTGGGTGGAACCTGGTAGTATTACACACACGTCGGCGCCCTGCCAGCACAATTGATCTCGTCTTGCCACGGTTGTAGGTCTATCCTCGAACATCCCCATCATGTTCGGGACAGAAAATCCGCTGAACAGCTGACCAGAAAATGAGGAAAGGCAATGGCTAGAAGTTTATTATTTCCTGGGCGCCCTTGAAAAGTGGTATTTACGCGATGACACAATCTAACCGTGGTGGAAAACCAAGTCTCAGCTCTATCCCGAGTGGTTTTTCTTTTTTTTTCCACACCGGATTGCAGTTGATGAGACTGCTCAAGAACATTCCCACTTTGACGAGAGAATCCAGTGTTAGCGTTCCACCTGGCACGGCACCTGTGTAAGAGGGCTCGCTTGGAACGATTACCATATCTAGATTGGGGCATGTTGGAGACTGAAATGGAATGTACGAAGATGTCCTTGGCAACTACGCAGATGTTAGGGGAGACAGCCGTAAACGTTGTGGAATGATGGTATACTTCTTGTTTTTCCAAGCGCATTTTTTCTGATCGCAATCAGTTTCATATCTCTCTTCGTTTAAGTAACTATAGAGAGGATGTGATCCTTCCCTTTGAACCTATAGTAGTTTTGTGTCCTAGCTCCTAGCCCAATATCCCAAACGTTATGAAGTCTCATGCTGTAAACCTCGAGACATCTTAACAAGTGCGAGACTCGTCGGCGGAGTAGTTATTTACGTCAATGTCAGGAATAACAGACACACGAGGAGCAAACCACAACCGATATTATGGACTTTCCTTTCCACCGTAAGCACATACGACCACACCCATCGGAAAATTCGGGATCCCGTCCGCTCTCCCATAGACAAGCCGATGAGGGCCAGATTAGTAGTTGAGTCGGTGACGATCAGCGAATACCTGGTGTTGTATGTTTTTCTTTTTGTCTTTTTCCTTGTTTGGTTCCATGCCAGGTCTGATGGTGGGTGACGGTGGTCGAAAGGTCAGTGGGTCAGCGAACTCGACAACCATCGGTATGTAAGCCCACAGGTCTGAAACTATTGTATTTGTTTCAACAAGAACTACCTTCGTCATTATATACTCTAAAATCCTCCCTGCCCAGTCGTATCTAGCCGTCTACACACACCAAACTCCTGCAACATCTGCCCAACGACAACCATGCCCCCTATCGCAGGAGTGAAGCAAATCGCTGCTCCAATGATGACATAGAGATAGAACGACGTCTCAATGATGCGAAAATACTTTGCAACTAGCCAGTCTATCGCCCGCTGCATAAAAGTCGCCCTATCAAGAGCATACGCTATCGCGTCGTTGGCACGAATCTTGTAGACGCCGTGGATCTCAGAGGGAAACACCGTGAGCATCCTGATGACCGGGCCCATGACAATGCCAAAGATGAGCCAACTAAGAATCCATACTTGCTGGTAGATGGTGCTATGCCCGGGGCTGAACCCGGTAACGCCCGCGACAAGAATGGCTGGGATCAGAAGGAGTACCGTCGTGACGGCAAAGTACGACGCATGAGCCGCTTGAGAGGGCCAAAAGGTCCGCAACGGCTCCTTGATGCTGTCGAGGTCGACGCTGGCGATCATGCCGGAGAACCTCCCCCCCAACCTCTTTGCCTTATCGAGATCAGGGGTATGTACGAGGTAGATGCAGTTATACTCTGGCGTGACCAGAAGCGCGATCAAGTTGACCAGAGACATGAAGGCATACGGCGCCACAGTCACGCCAAAGGCGGCGTAACCATACCTCTGGAGCTGGTCGCCCTGCGTGCGGTAGACGGTCGTCACGCCCCACGCGGCTTGGCCCAGGGCGAACAAGGCCTTGGGGATGTTGTACGTGCTGCCCAGCTGGATGTTGGAGCGGTCGAGGTAGGCAGCCCCCGAGCCTGGCGGCGGCATCAGCGGCGTGCCTACGGGCACCTCGACCAAGATGAAGCCCTTGGGGAGGACGCAGGTCCCATGTATGGTCCGGGAAGAGTGCACCCACCGACCGGCGCCGCGAAAGCGAGACCGATACCATTGTGGGGTGGGAATATCGTACCTTTCGCATTAACAAAGTTAGCCAAAAAAGAACATGCCCAAGTAACGATTTGAAATGCTGCAATACTCTAAATCGAGAACATTGTTGACACTTACCAACTTCGAGCCCTCTCAAAGTTCATCCGCCTCAGGGACGTTTCTATCCACGAGACCTTGGACCTCTCCGTCTCGTCGACGACCATGCATAGCGCACCGGCCCTGATGGCCCGGCTGAGCTCGTCGCGCCTGACCGTGCCGGCATGGGAGAGCAGCCAGCGGGCGGCGCGCAGTGAGCCAGTGCTGGGTAGGAAGAGGGCCGTCAGGACGGTGAAGCAGGTCTCGAGGATGGATTCGCCGGGCCGGCTGGGGAGGGTGAGGGCGTGGACAAAGTAGTTTGTTGCGTAAAAGATGACAAAGTCGGTCCAGATGGGAGGCGTGCAGATGAGTCTTGGGTCGCCGTGGTTGACGGTTCCCGGCGGGACGGTGATGGTGATGTTCATCGTCGGCCCTGAGGTTTTGGTGTTAACTCCAAGGCATGTCAAGGCTTTGGGACTGCAACTTTGGCAAGCCGCTTTGTGTGGAAAGGATGTCTCGAAGGAAACGGAGAGACGGAAAATGATTGAGCAAAGGGTTTGAGTCCCGGGACACCGAGATCCCGTACACAGAGTGTCTACGTCAG